TTCCTTCCTTCCTTCCTTCCTTCCTTCCTTCCTTCCTTCCTTCCTTCCTTCCTTCCTTCCCTCCTTCCTTCCTTCTTTCTTTCTTTCTTTTTTGCATATCAGTTGTTCTGTTAGACCAAACATATTTCAGTAAGTCCCAGCAGGTGTTCTGAATTTTGTGTTTTCAAGTCTATTCTGCTCTCTGAGTGTCCCACCTTCTTTTGAATCTCCCATTGAAATTGTATATTGGAACTAATGAAGCATTTCTTAAAATTCCGTGGAGAATCTCTATAATTAATATTAAAAAGATGAAAAAGATAAAATCTTTCAAAACTGTCTATGGAATTTCCAGAAAATTGTTGTTTCTCCACAGATCAACATGTTTGAATATTTGCTTTCATGAAAATAAATATTTAGTTTTTATATATGGTGCAATAAGTCTACATTTATATATTATAGTTTGAGATTTTGGTACAAGCAGTCCAGCTTATTTTTTCATGTCTGGCAAAATCTTTTATCAAAATTGGGGAGGGTAGAGAGATAGAACATTAAAGATGAATAAAAAATTAGTAATCTTTTGGGATAGTCCAAACAAATTAGGGGGTATGCTGCCCCACTTCCCCCTCATACACATATATAGCAAAAGTTCTACATGTGTTTATTCAAATCCGTTCCCGTAAAGCACCCCTCTTGGGCAGGTCTGGATTCCAAGTTCAGTGTAACAATAGGGTAATCGAATCCTATGAGCACATACAAAGTCCAGGAAAGCAGTCCAGAAGTCAAACAGGCCAGGGTTCCCCCGCACAAGCACACAAGGCCCAGAACTGGGCACATTGCTTCAGCTAGGGATGGGATCCGATCGGTATAATTACCAGTTCTGTCACTCTGCATTGCACACGCATGCGTGAGTCGCGCAAGTCACGTGAGTGCAATTTATGACCTGCTGAGCTGCCGGACAGCTGAGCAGTGCTGCGTGCGGGTGTGCAGCGGTTGGAAAAGCCCTTTTTTCCTGCTTTTTCAACCGCAACTGTGCCACACAAAACAGCAGCAGGCATAGAACTGGTTCTATGTCTGCTGCTCTTCAGAGCAACCGGTTCTACAGAGGTGGACAGAATTGGTAGAATCCCACCCCTGGCTTCAGCAACACTCAAGTCCTCATGCTGAGGTTAAGTAGGCAATGCTGGTCTAGCCATTCATGAGAGGCAAGGTTGCCTCCTCATGAGTAATATAGATGACCTAGACTGTGCCTGTCTCCTCTCTGCTCTATGTGTTCCTTGGATCAGGAGGAGGTGTGGATTCTAGCTCCTCCCCATTGATAACAGGTGTCAACTACTCCTGATCCTTACCTGGAGCCTCCTGGCCAACTTGCTGAGATAGGAAGCAGAGAGAATGAATGAAGAATTAGACAAGAATTAGACAATGTGATATTTTGATATATTTCCTAAAGAAACTAACAAGGGACTAAATTCTGCAATGCCACTTTGATACAACATTGAAAATTAATAAAGTTGATATAATTGTCTTAAATGAGATTTCTGTCAGGATTTTGTGTGAGAGAAAATGTTTACCTTTACTTTTTTACTTTTTAAAAACAGATTTTGAAGCTGAAAATGATTCCATTTTATTGGGATATTCTAGTGGGAGTAATTTTTTATTTCTTTCATTATTTGAGAATATTGAAACATGATATAATTGGTTTACACTAAATCCATATAAGAAAATAGATGTGAAGTATTTGATTTTGTATCAGCAAAATGAAGAGTTTGTATCAGCAGGTTTGAAAAAACTAATAGAGTAGTTTTGTATGTCAAATCACAAATCAAATCAAAAGTATTGATGATGAAAATAATATATAAATTCAAGTGAATTTGAAATGCAAAGGACTAAATCTAAAGTTGTTAGTCTTCATGTTTCAAATGAGGATAATGCAAAGATTTTAAAACCACCTAGCCGTGCCCAGCCAGTCACATGACTACATGGCCATGCCCACCTAGCCACGCCCACAGAACCAGTAGTAAAAAAATTTGAATTCCACCACTGCTTTACAAGCAGTTTTCCTTATGTTAACAGAAAGATTTAAGTGTTTGAAAGTGAACGGAAAGATTTAAGCGTTTAAAAGTGAACAGAAAGATTTAAGTTTGATAAGAATTATGAATGTGAAAATGAAAGGATTGAATTTGATGAGTTGTGTACAAATGATAGTCATATTATTACTAATATCTAAAACTTTTACTGACAATGGAAACAGATGATTAACAAATTAAAATTTGTATGTTGAAATGAACAAGAAATGAATATAATATACAGTTGGATCAATGGGATGGTATGTGAATAGTTGAAATTATGTTAAATTATAATCTTAAAGAGAATTTAATCAAACTGATGGTATATTTTCTCATCTCTGGTGTACATGCAAGGCTAAAAAATATTGGGGTTAAGTGTGTATTCTAACTCAGAAAATTTTAAAAATGAATATAGAATTGAAGCCAGAGATTTTTCTTCTGAATTTAATAGACAAACAAATGGAAACACCTTATGGAACTTTGCTTTTATATGTGAAAACAATAACTAGACTTTCATATGCACAAAGATGGAAGGATTTACTAATACCCACAATAGAAAAATGGATGATGAAACTGATGGAATTGTGGAGATAGTAAAATTGGCAACTTTGATTAAAGAAAAAACTAAGTTTATTGTTCCTTAGAAACCACTTCTGGATTTTTTTGCAAGAAACTGAAAGAAATGAAATGTTAATTTTGGAATTCGACGTTTTGAACTATGTGAGATAATAGAAATAATGTTAACCTTAGAGTAAGGGTTTATTTTTTTAAAAAAAATTCACATTTGTTGATCAAAAGTCATTATTTTTCTTACTTTTTCTTTTTTTTTCACACTTTCTTTCTTGATTCTTTTTCTTTTTTCTTGTCTGTTTATTCTTGTTTTTGAAACTCAGTGAAGTTATAAAAATAAATTAAAATGCACAAATTCAGTAAAATTAAGATGAGTCCAAATGTGTAAAATAAAATTATATCTACAATAGAAATCCAATTGGTTTCTGTGTGAAATTAAAAGATTTATTGCAGTGAAAGGTTAAATAAATATTCCTTAGGATAGGAATATATGTGGCAACAAGTATTATAAATTCAGAAAGATTTTGCAAAGCAGTCTAGAATGAATATCTACTGAAGTAAAACATGGAGTTAAATATAAGATAATTAATATGTAATCTGAGTAAATATAAGATAACAATAAAATAACCAATGAAACATGTAAAATAATACTATACTCATTTACCACCGAATTAGTATAGTCAAATATCTATATAATTATTTAAGTCAGGAAAAGGAAATAACTACAACTGTGGTAATTATTCCAAACTTTTTTTTAGTCAGTCTCAGTTTCTCATTTGGATTACCCACATGAATTAAATTTCGAAGTTGGAAAAAGGCATGGTATAAAAAGAAGTTAACTGTTACTAAGAAGATGTAATGTAATAAAAGCTCAATATAAGATATAACAGATAACAGTTAATCAGAGTTGGAAGGGACCTTGTATGTCATCTAGTCCAACCCCCCGCCCAAGCGGGAGACCCTATACCATTTCTGACAAATGGCAGTCCAATCTCTTCTTGAAGGTCTCAAGTGATGATGCTCCCACAACTTCTGAGGGAAAGCTGTTCAACTGGTTGATTGTTCTCACTGTCAGAAAGGTTCTCCTTATTATTTCCAGGTTGAATCTCTCCTTGTTCAGTTTCCATCCTTAATTGTTTGTCTGGCCTACAGGCATTAAATAAAACTCATGTTCTTGTTTGGTGGTCTCTTGGGGTCTGATATCAATCCACTTTATGTGGTCATCTGTAGAGAAGGATGTAAATCTTCTTGAAGATTTATAAATCTATCAGGTTCACTGCCTCTAAGGTGCCCCTAATTATTATTTTTTCTTCTGTCTTGTACTCCTAACTGTTAACTAAGAATACTCAATACAAAATTAGGGCACTAAGATAAAGATAAGAAACTTTCTCCCTAGAGAAAGTTCCATTCCCACTTTAGGGAGCTACCACGGAATCCCATCGTAACTTTAAACAAGACCATTTGTTAGTTCTGCATCTCTTAGTTTCATTTTTGCTGAAGCACTTTTTTCGTATCATATATACATATTAAGCCCCCATTCCTTCACTTAAAAATCTACAATTGTAATGTTTCCTCATAGAGAATATCATAATAAAATGGAGATAAATTATAAATATTATTATTTCTTATTTCTCCAAATGAGGGCCATTCTGAAGATGACTACTTGGAAAGCTATATAGAGAATGATTATTTAATATCTATTTTTTCTTCTGAAATTATACATGAGCCATAATATATGGTATCATTCCAATCAGTTAAGGTCAATTTCTTTCTTCTTCAAATTACTGACAATGAAGATGGAGAATAAAACTAGAGGTGTTCCCATTGCCATGGTGCAAGCTCCAAAGTGTAATGTTTAATTATATTATGTTAGCTATAAGATGTAGAAACTGCCACACTCCAGAGATTCTAGGTTGTATTTGAAATAGGAAAAGTTGATGCTGGATTAATACCAATATTAGTTTGTTGGTAGAGCTTAGCATTTATTAGAGACAGTTATTAATTCCCATACAATAATTTCTAGAATACATTGTCATAAAACATAGTGATGGAGATTAATTTGATAACTTTTTAAGATACATGTAAATGATAAAGGGTCCAATGATAGACAGTAGAAAATTTATTCTAATTATACCAAAGTTTTCTATGAGGAAGGTATGTGGTTAAGAAGTTTAATAATAAATAAATAAATAGAACTTGTAGCCATCCATTGCTGAAACATTGAACTGCAATAAAGATCTTTTGATCTGACCCATAAGAAAATCCTCATTTTCTTATATGCATAATAATGGACTTTGAAAGTAGTTTGCAGGATTTTTGTTGCTAAAGTTTTATGTTCATTATTTTTTCAGAGATTACCATTAAATTATTTGACCATTGTCTTATTAGGAAATAGAAGAACTTGTAGCTAAACTTCACAAAGATGCGTTAGTTGTAGAACAAGTTCGAACTTTGGTTAAAAAGGATGAAGAAATTATGGCTGCAGAAACAAAAATTGTGGAAGGGTATGCTAAGGTACACAGTTTTCAAAGTTTCTTCTTTTGATGTCATCATAACAAGCATGCCAACTATTCCTATCAAATGTAATTTTCCTCCCCCCAAAAGGAGAAACTAGGGCTACTATGTCTGAGGTGCAAAAATCTGGGGGACCTCCAGATGCTAGCAAGAGATTAAAAAAATAATATTTTTTCTATAAAAAGGCTTATGTTTGAGTTAAAGAATTTTGTATATAAAAATAGTATTTATACATGTATATCCTGTGACTAAAAAATAAAACTACCCTTTCTTCATTTTTGTAGCAAGTAACAGAAGAACTTAATACCGTATTACCATCTTTGGAGAAGGCTCTTAGTGCTCTTGATGCACTTGACAAAAATCACATTGCAGAAGTTAGGTAAATATATTGCTTATTTCCAAGGATTTCTAAGCTGAGGATCTCTTGAAATCAAAATGCATGAATTTAGCGAATACAATATTCATTAGTCGTAATCAGTTTACATTGATGTACCCTGATTCTTGCTAATGTAAGAAACTATTAGCCGGAATAGTAAGATACAGCCAAAGCAGTTTACATTGATGTACCCTGATTCATGCTAATGTAAGAAACTATTAGCAGGAATAGTAAGATACAGCCAAAGCAATAGATTCCCTGAAAATCAGTCATCTCAATAGAAAATTGCTCTTGTAATGTTTCATATTATTTCTTGTTTTTATATTAAACTGCAATCTCTAAGGTCAGAAATATGCATTACATTCCTTGGGCAGTCTAGGACATTCAGTTTTGTAGTGTTGATCACTAAAATTATTGTATCTTAATGTGAATCAGGTTGTTTTTCCAAAAAATTGACTTTGAATATAATATATTTTGTGCTCTTTTTCTGAAAAACGCAGAGTATATACTCATCCTCCTCCACTTGTTTTAACTGTTATGAATGCAGTCTGTATTCTTCTTCAAAAGAAACCAGACTGGGCAACAGCAAAATTATTACTGTCAGATCCAGGATTCCTGAAAAAATTGATTACAATTGACAAAGATAATTTACCAGAAAAGGTAAAAGAAAGTTCATTTGCAAGTTCATTTGCAAGTAGATTGGATGTTTTTCTGCTTTTGTATACATAAATCCTCAAATAAGAGATTTTAAAAATGAAACACTTTTCCAGGGGTCTGGTTTGGGGTTTCATTGCCACCAGAATCCAACTAATTTTTCCTTACCAGATTGTAAATATCTTCTGAATGTAACAGTTGTGAACAATATTCAAATAGTCAAATTTTCTCTAATTCTGCAGAGTTTGGACTAATCTTTCACAGTTTAATTATCTTGTGAAAAACTGTCTTCTTGTCCATTTACATTGCTTTTTGCTCTGTTATTCATCAGACGACAGCTGTTTTTCATTCCACTTTGTAGAGATTCAGTTGGTAGGAGTTTGAGACAAAGGCCTCAGTGGTAGAATTCTATCTGGAAATAGATAGTTTATAATTATATTGTGGAAAGGGAATTTCACGAAGGCAGTCGTGTCACAAAAAACAGGAAAAGCCCAAGGGGAACATCAGGTCAGCCAGAAAACAAACTTACATAGGAAAAGGAATCAAATAAAAAGTATTAAAGAATCCCTATAGACAAAAGCCTAAGTAATTAAGAAAACTAGACAAATAGGAAAAGGAAACAAAAGATAATTTAGAAAACCCTTACAAACACAGGATATACCAAATAAGCAAAACAAACAGACAAAAGACACAAAATATAAATTACAAAAGGGACAGACAGGAGATTGCCACAGAACAAATATGAAAAACTATCTTAAAGCTAAAAGAGATTACAGAAAACCAATAATACAATCTGGCCACCCCGCGGAGTTTGCCTTCCGCACCCTGCGGAGTTTGCCCTCCGACGGAAATAAAGACAAACTCAAACAGGATTTGAAACATTAGGCACAAATACAAACATTCACACAAAATCAACTTACAAAGGGAGAAAAGGGTATAAAAAACCAGGGGCTTACCATAAGAAGCTAGCTAGCCTAGGAACGTAGACTTCTCGCTGTTCTCCACCTTCCTGAAAAATAAAAAGATCCAGCTTTCAAGCAGTTGTCCGTATCCTTGCGCCGGAGCTCACCCAGCAGAAAAATCGAATCCTTGAAAGAAAGGCATTTTGACACCTTTCAACAATATCTATAGTTCATGTCTAATGAACTATCTCTGATAGCTTTTAAATGGATAGTAAAATATTTCACTTTGATTGATTAATTAAAATATTGAAAAATAAACCAATATTTTGTTTTTGTGACTAATCTTTTTTTGTTTCTTTTCCCTGTTTTTTTGTTGTCGTTGAAGATATATTATTCTCTTTATATTGTTGTGCAGTTTATAATTTCCTTTACTTGATAAATTCAGTGCAATGGAATTATTTTTTAAAAAACAAATAAATAGATATTAGTTATTGATTGAAGATGGAAGAATTTACCTGTATCTGTTACACATGCCATTTTATTAATTATTTATTTATAATTAATTGTTTTGTATTCATTTTAGGTTTTTCTGCAGTTAAAAAAATATGTGAGATCATCTGATTTCAACCCAGTGAAAGTGGGACTTGTGTCTGTTGCATGTTGCTCCATATGCCAGTGGATTTTAGCTCTGGATCACTATCATATTGTTAAAAAGGTATATTTACATAGGTTATTTTCAATAGTTTTTAAAACAATCCATCATATTGGACAGATTGTATTTATAAGGGTAAAGATTCTGGAATACATTGCTGATTTCTGCAAATTTCAGAACTGTCAGAGGTAAAACAATTCCAATTGTCCTCTTATTTTCTATTTATTCTGCTATTTTAATTTTCTACCATAAAACAACTGTAGAAATGTACCTGGATTCAGGAAGCTCAGAGAAAGAAGGCCTGGAAGCAGACCCGAAATATACAGCAGTCCTAATTTAATATTTTATTAAGCAATTAATTGAATTGTTTTTCTCACAGACTCAATTTCTATAGTTTTAAGATAAATTTAAAGATAAGTCTTAAAGTTTACTTTAAGATAGTTTAATCTTTAGAAGATTGACCTGACAAGAAATGGGTCATCTTATCTCTTTATTAAGTAAATAATACTAAAATAAACTTTTCTCCTGTTGCAAGGGATTCAAACATATCAGTCTCAAAACTTGGTTTCAGTTGTATGTCACTGCAACTGTTAAAAGTGTTTAGCTGGTAGTCCATGACTTATGACCATGATTAAGCCCAGAATTATAGCCGTAAGTTGGAAATAAACACTGGAAACTGGCAAAAAAAATGTTATAAAATGTTTGCAGGATGCTGCAAACAGCTGTAAAGGTGAGTTGGTTGCCAAGTACCCAAAATGCACTTGCATGATCATGTTGTGTGTGTGTGTGGTTATTGTAACTTCAAAACCAGATCATTAATGCTTTTTGCAAGTCTGTCATAACTTTGAACAGTCGCTAAGCAACTGTTAAGGACTCTCTGTATGTTCTTCTTTTCCACAGGGATCCTTGTGGAAAAGGATCTCTGGCATCGCTTCAAGATTGCAGAGAAGGGCAAACAGATAGTTATTCAGGACTGATCTTAGTACCTCCCTTAAAATAATTATATAGAATTGCTTCCTGGAATTTTCCATCTCCTGTCTGGATTTCTTCCTCTTAGTTTCCAAGGGCATTTTCCCTTTGCTTCTGTCCTGTCCCTGCAGGATTGTTATGAGGGGGATCGCAGGAGGAGAATAATAGAAATAAAGGTTGTGGAAGAATTGCCAAGTCTAAGGAGTCATTTCACCCTCAGGAAAAATAAACCTTCCTTATCTTCCTTTTTGAAACTCAACTGTAAAGAGTACCTACTAGCTTGCCATTCCTAGGTCATTTCTAAAGCAATCCTCATCCTAAAAAAAAAAATCCTTATAGATTTTCCTAAGTTTAAAGGAGGAAAACTGGTCTGTCCTTCCTAACCCATTGGGACCTAGGTGTAGAGAGTATAAAGTTACTCACATGATATGGGCAGTGTAAAAATTTGATAAATCTTCTATTTGATGAATAGAAGATGTCATTGAAGGACCAAAGGAAGTTTTATTAGGAAGCAATGATCAGATAAATTATACTAGAAGAAGTGAACCACAGTAGCTTTAGGTTTACACAAAGCCTGCTTCTTAGTCTGATCTACCTTCTAGGACTGACACTAGGTAATCAAAGTCTTTCCTCTGGGGCAAGTTGGTAAATAAAGTAATGACTTTATCACAACTTCAGATTTGTGGGAAGGGAGAAGGGTTTCTGAAATAGGACAGTTTCACTTTTGGCCCCTATTCCATAAGATGACATGAATTGTTCTGAATTAGTCTTGGCTCCCATGTCCAATAGGCATAATTGAGCCTTGATCAGATGAAACCAAGCTGGATGCTTCACTTTTGTGAAGCATCGAAAGTGAAGCTGTGCAGATGAGTAAAACCTAGACAGACTTTCAATATCATTCATATTCTTCTGATTCAGAAAATCAAAATATTACCACACAGAGATGAGAGACACTCATTATATTATGAGCAACTGAAATGATTAGGATCCTACCACATGACATATGATATACATTTGCTATTCAAAGCCACCCCAGAATTATTCAAAGCCACCCCAGAACTTGTGCTTTTACTAAGGTTCATGAATAGTAAAATCCTGTGCCAGAAATTGTATTAACACATTATAAATTTGCAGAGAAATATAAATAGCCAAATTACAATAGATGTTCAGCACAGAACTGTCACAGAGAGTTATGATTATTTGGTCGATTTGTTTGTGTTGTTGTATCAAATTGTGAATTTCTCCAGGATGCATCACTGGCTAGTGGTCAGAACAGGAGAACATGCAATATAAAGATGTCACAATATAAATAAGTATGATAGAAAATTAAAATGAAGACTAGAAAGTTCTGAGAGAGATGTTGCTTTTAGGAAAATCCATCAAGTACAGTTAGAAATATGAATTTAATGAGTATTACTTGGTCATATATAAATAAATGTGCCTATATCATATTTGTGACATATATTTCATATTTCTCTAAAGTATTAATTCTAACAATTTCCTATTGAATTGTAAATATTTCTCTTTTTTTAGTTTGTAGATCCAAAGCAAGCAAAGGTAGTGGAAGCAGAGGAATTACTGAATCGTGCACATAGTAAATTAGATGAAAAACGAAGATGTTTAGCCCTGGTAAAATAGAAGTGTTTAATATATGCCATCATATTTACGTAATCCGTTAAATAATAGAAAACGTATATGCATCTAAGTAATCCATATTGTTTTAGTATAAATATTTCCTTTGCTGAAGAGAAAGTCATCTTTATTAGCTAGAATAATATATTATCTCTGAGTGTTTATATATTGTGTAATAATCACATCATAATTCTAAATGATGTTTTCTCTCACTATTGTATTTAAAAGTGTTTCAGCCTGAGTAGAGAGAGTGAAGAAAGAGTTTGGAAAGAGTTTGTTTCTCGAATTATCTGTCCTAAATTATCCTAAATAGTTTATAATAAATTCTTTTCAATGATCTCTGTACTTCACTTAAATGAAGAGATTGTAGAGCTGGGTTTTTTGGTAGAAGACAGTCCCACCCTCTTTGCACATGCATAAAAGAAATATTTTTACTCTGATTTCTATTTCCTTTCGCTGCCACAACAACAGAACTGCTTGGTGCATGGTACATTCTTACATCTATTTAGAGATACTACTTTTATTCATGGCCCTCACTTCTTTTTGTTTAACACCAACAGTTTGGATTCCTCATTTTTTCCACACCTTCTTCACCTTAATTAATGTTAATTTCATTTATTCTAATCTAAAATAAAATTCAGCAGAAGCTAGTCAGTCCACTATTCCAGATGTATATCTTATGATTAGAATTGGAATTTGGATTTTAAGATTATTTTCAGTCTACTGATATAGTTAATAGATAACAGATAATCAGAGCTGGAAGGGACCTTTTAGGTCATTTAGTCCAACCCCATGCCCAAGCAGGAGACCCTACATCATTTCTGACAAATGGCAGTCCAATCTCTTCTTGAAAGTCTCAAGTGATGATGCTCCCACAACTTCTAAGGGCAAGCTATTCCATTGGTTGATTGTTCTCACTGTCAGAAAGTTTCTCCTTATTTCCAGGTTAAATCTCTCCTTGTTCAGTTTCCATCCATTATTCCTTGTCTGGTCTACAGGTGCTTTAGAAAATAGCTTGATCCCTTCCTCCCTGTGGCAGCCCCTCAAATATTGGAAGACTGCTATCATGTCTCCCCTGGTCCTTCTCTTTACTAGACTAGCCAAGCCCAGTTCCTGTAACCATTCTTCATATGTTTTAGTCTCCCGTCCCCTAATCGTCCTGGTTGCTCTTCTCTGTACTTTTTCTAGAGTCTCAACATCTTTTTATAATGTGGTGAGCAAAATTGGATGCAGTACTCTAGGTGTGGTCTTACTAAGGCTTTATAGAGTGGTATTAGTACCTCACTTGATCTCAATTGTATCCCTCTAATAGTGCAATTTAGGATTGCATTGGCTTTTTTGGCTGCTGCTGCACACTGCTGGCTCATATTTAGCTGGTTGTCCACTAAGACTCCAAGATCTATCTCACAGTTACTGCTATTGAGCCTGGTTTCACCCAATCTATATATGTTGGTTTCTATATATATATGGTTTCTCTTGCCTAAGTGTAGGACTTTACTTTTCTCTACATTGAATTTCATTTTGTTAGATACAACCCAGTGTTCTAGTCTGTCAAGATCTATCTAGATCTTGAACCTACCTTCTTTTGGGTGTTAGCTATTCCTGCCACCTAAGTATCATTTGCAAATTTGGTAAGTTCCCCTTCTATTCCCTCATCTGAGTTGTTAATGAAGATATTGAAGAGTACTGGGCCTAAGACAGAACCTTGTGGCACCCCACTGCTTACTTTCCTCCATGTAGACTTAGACCCATTAAGGACTACTCGTTGAGTACAGTTTGTCAGCCAGTTGTGAATCCATCTAGTGGTGGTGCTATCTATTCCACTTTTTTCTAGTTTACCAAGACGTAGGTTGTGGTCTACTTTGTCAAATGCCTTTCTGAAATCTAAATATATTGTGCCCACAGTATTTCTCTGGGCTACTAACTTAGTCAGTATGTTGAAGAATGAAGTAAGATTGGTTTGACATGATCTGTTTTTAACAAACCCGTGCTAACTGCTAGTTATTACTTTACTTGTTTCGAGATGTTGGCAGATCTGTTTTTTTATTAACTTTTCCAGTATCTTCCCAGGTATTGATGTTAGGCTGATTGGTCTATAATTTCCTGGGTATGTTTTTTTTTCCTTTTTTGAAGATGGGAACCACATCAGCTCTTTTCCAGTCCTCCGGTAGTTCCCCGGTGCTCCAGGATTTTTGAAAGATATGGTGCAGTGGTTTTGAGATGACCTCTGCCAGCTCCTTTAAAACTCTGGGATGTAATCCATCAGGTCCTGGTGATTTGTGTTCATCAAGATCAGACAGGTGTTCTCTTACTATTTTTTTTGTTTATTTTAACTTTTATTTCTGGTCTGTCTTTACTACTATTCACTAGTAGTATTCACTACTAACTGCTTCTTAACTTCAGTGTGCTTGATGTTGCCTGAAGGATGCCCACTTGCCCAGGTATTTGTAACAATCTTCTTCACCCAGACTCTTGATGTTATTTTGATAGGGCATCTTGATGCCTTCAATTTTCACTATTTTTCCACTGGTGATGATAAGTGTGGCACATATGTGCAGTTCAAGTACATATGTTTCCTCTTCCTTCTTCTCACAATAAATAAAGTGAGAATAAACCATCTGATCTATTGCACTTGCTATCATTTTATTATATTGATTTTATTGTAAGTCCTATGTTTTATTCCTGTGAGCTACCTACAATAGTTGGGAATCGAGTAGCATACAATTATTATTATGTTTGGTCACATACACAGCCAATCCCAACCATACCTCACTGTGGTAAAAAAACTTTATGGATCGATTCGAAGATATACTACCAAAAAGTGAGGTCCCTGTGTGGTGGTGGTGGTGGTGGGAGTTACAGGGGAAGAGCAAAGAGACTATCATAGTAACAGGAGCATCCATGATGCAGATGTGGTAAATTTTAATGCCACCCTCAGCAATTGACACAACTTCTACTGAAAAGAGATGTATCTGCTGTTCAAAAAATTAGGAACATGGAACATCAATGGCTTAAATCTAGGAAAGCTGAACACTGTTAAGAATGAAATAAATATGTTTAACAATGAATGGGATGGACATAGTGCATCCATCTTTGCTCTACTTGACCTCTACACAGCATTCAATACTACCAACCACAGTATCCTTCTGAACTGGCTTTGGGAGCTGAGAATGGGCAGCACTATATTGTGCTGAGTCCCTTACTTCCTCCAAGACTGGTTCCATCAATGTTTCATTGGCAGCAAGAGGTCCTACCCTCAGTCCCTACTATATGGGATGCCACATTGCTTGGTAATCTCTCCATGCCTACTTAACATCTACATGAAGCCACTGGGTGAGTTTATGCAACACCATGAGTTGAGATGTACGTTGACATACACAGTTGTATATCTCTACCATTGGTAAAATGCTGCTGCTAATCTGATGCTGTTTCAGTGTCTGGACACTGTCAGGATCTGGATGGATATCAATGGACTCTGGCTTAATCTTGACAAGATTTCTTAGAAATGGACTTTTCAATTTTTACCATAGTAATATATGAGGAGTTATGTGATCTACAGACTACAGTGATTATAATTTGAAGGGGGTGAATTGAAGCCAATTGCTGGAATCAGGAAATAAATTTAACCTGTTGAGCCTGTTGACAGTTGAGGAAAATAAATAAGCAATTTGCAAGGTCATAGTACCCAAAAGTTTGAATGACTAGTGTGTGAAAGCAAAAGTACAAGATACTCAAAAGAGCTACAAAATATTTGATTTTAAGGCTATGTCTGCTAGATAGAGGACATGAAAACCTAAATGAGGATATGTCCTCTATTTGCCCAATGTCTGGTAACACTAGATGAGCTGGGCCTTTGACCTTAACCAATATAAAAATGACCATTATTATTTTGTTCCTAATATACAGTAGCTGGGTGACGTTGGGAAAACAAAGTTGCTTGTCTGTTCTGATAAAGCATGGGTGAGATCCCCTCAATTTTTAAGTGACTAAAAAAGAAGACAAACTGATAATTGATAACTGATAAAAAGGGGGAATAATAATAATAAGCTAAAGTAGAAACGTCCTTCAGCATGTTATTAGAGATAGGTCTCTATTCAAACTACATAGCTGATTAATAAAAATACTACATCTATAGTTAAGCAAACAATCTTTATACACAGTCCTGCTTAATCTGCTCAGAAAATTCATGCATAATAATGTTTAAATGGGCATAGTTATGTTCAGAGTCTGGATAGTAGCCCTGTAAAAGCCTCATATTAGATATTATTTAGTTACTTTTTTTAAAAGACCATGCAAATATAGCAAGTAATTCTGCTTTATAGAGTTTTTAAGTAGATTTTCTCATTTAGAATTTAAAAATTTTCTAAATTTTCAGATTGAACAACATCAACAAAATTTAGAAGCATTGTATGATGAAAGTATTGCTGAACAGGAAAAACTTGCAGCCCGAAAAATTCAAACAACTCGCCGTTTACACAGTGCATCTATATTAAGCATAGCTCTAAAGGGTGAAATGGTATTACCTTTTTAATTTGCTCTAATGCTTAAGTTCAAGTTTCATTATATTTTTGATTGCTTTTTCTCATTGACTTTTTCCCATGTTATATACTTAAGCGTTGGGTTATGTCTTATACACAATTGTTATTTTTCTCACTGATTATATCTGAAATATGTGACCAATGTACTGCTGATTTAAAAATAAATACATTTTAGCCTGTCTTCATTAATGATATAGCACCCTTGCGGTAGCTGGATTATGTTATGAGACTTGATGTTTCACATATATGCCGATACTGTCTAACTTATTAGGAATTGACCAAATGAGGTTGCGACATACAGCTTAATAAAAACACAAGAAAGCCATGTATTTTTCAAAAATCCAATATTAATGCCCTTGTGGTTACTACACTTAGTATAATTTCTATAGTATTGTGGTCATTGTGCTTCACAAAAAAAAAAAAAACCAGAAATGGAAATATGCAAAAAAAATAATAATATATAAAGTCCCTTCTTTACTTCCCTCTGAAGAAAGACTACAAAAAGGCACATAATAGAGATGTATATTATACATGGCATGGGAAAAGTGTGCTCATCATACTAGAACCCAGAAATATTCAAAGATTTAGAATGGTAGAAGGTTTCAGAGAGGAAAAAAAACTATTTTAAATTCAGAATAGAAATGGAAGAGGCCTAGTCAGAGACATTATACCATTTCAGACAAGTAACTGTCCAGTTTCTGTCCCTCTCCACCCATTCTTCCCCTCCCCTCCCCTCCCAGTCAGTCTTTATCACACATGTGCAACATTGTGTGCATGCCCGACATCGCTGACTGCGTTCTTCCCCACCCAGTCACTCCTTAGGGTATTTCTTCTTCTTTTTCCCCTCCTGACAATCAGCTGTTCCTATGATCAGCTGTGCCAGGATTCCCCTTGCTTATTTACTGATTCACCCAGGAGGCTTCCCTGAGGCCCAGGAAGGCAAAAAATGGAGGGGGGCTCAGTACCCCCCCCTCCATTTTGGCCTTCCTGGGAGCAAAAACACCCCTCCAGAAGGCTTTCCGAGGCCCAGGAAGCCCTAAAATGGAGCGTGGAGGGATGATGCACGCCCCCTCCAAGCTCCTTTTTTTTCTTCTTGAACCCTAGGGGAGCCTTTTGGGAGCAAAAATGCCCCCCAAGAGGCTTCCCTGAGGCCCAGAAGGCCCCAAAACAGAGTGCGTGGGGGCTGTGTGCCCCCCCATGCTCATTTTTTTTCTTCCTGAGCTCCAGGAAAGCCTTCTGGGAGCAAACACGCCCCCCCAGGAGGCTTCCCTGATGCCCAGAAGGCCCAAAACCATGTGTGTGTGTGTGTGTGCGCTGCCAAAAGAAAAAATCCACACCCACCCAGTCACATGACCATGCCCACATGGCCACACACACCTAGTCACGCCCACAGAACCGGTTGTTACAAAATTTGAATCCCACCCCTGATGAGGAGTCATGTGATCTACAGACTACAGTGATTATAGATTTGAAGTGGGTGGATTGAAGCCAATTGCTGGAATCAGGAAATAAATTTAATCTGTTGAGCCTGTTGTCAGTTGAGGAAAATAAATAAGCAATTTGTAAGGTCATAGTACCCCAAAGTTTAAATGATTACTGTGTGAAAACAAAAATACAAGATACTCAAAAGAGCTACAAAATATTTGATTTTGCTATGCCTGCTAGATAGAGGACATGAGGATATGTCCTCTATTTGCCCAATGACTGGTAACACTAGATGAGCTGGGCCTTTGACCTTAACCAATATAAAAATGACAATTATTATTTTGTTCCTAATATAGCTGGGAGAATAAAATGTGTTCCTGTTAGCCTCAGTTACTAGAATTTAGTTCATATTTTAGTGGTTACCAAGATTTTCTTTGTTAAATAAATATCTCTTATTCATTTATTTGGAGACATATGAAGTTTTCAATCATTTGGGTGAACGAAGCAAACAAGCCAATGTTATAAATAATAGAATGGAATTCCTTCAGGATGATTGGATTACTTTTAGAAGTTAATAGCCTGGTTTTCTTTCTTTCTGCTTTCCATTAATGTTTTTTTATTAGATAGGGTAAGAATACACTGTCTCAGAACATTTCTGAACCTACTTATGGCCCTTTCAGTAGGCAACACAAAACTCCTGACTTTTGTCTTCTCATTTAATTATAAGTTCTATATCATATAAGTTAAGCAAACTAGCAAGACTAATGTTCAAATTTATGACACATAGCTATATACTTTTCTTCCTTAGGAACGCTGGAAAGAATCTGTTAATAACCTTGATCAAAGATTGCAAGGAATTGTAGGTGATGTCCTTATATCAGCAGCTTGTATTGTCTACAGTGGAATGTTATCACCGGGGTATCGTCAACAGCTAGTCAATGACAGTTTGAAACTCTGCAGTGATAACAATATTTTGGTCTCTCCAAATTACTCATTGGTTAACTGCATGACAGAAAAGAATGAGGTAGTAAACAAAGAGAAAAAATAAGAATGAAATTGTTTTATTTATAATTTTATCTCAAAACTGTTCTCAAATTTAACATTTCTTTCTCAGATTACACTATCAGTTAAAATAATTAATAAATTGTATTATTTATTAGAATTTATTTGAGAAAATGTACTTCATGATTTACAGGATTGTTCATTACCATAATTAGTGTATGGGGGGTGGGCAATATTATAGCCATGATTATAAATCTATAAAATCATTTTATAGGTCCGCAGATGGCAAAATGCAGGTTTGCCACATGATCAATATTCCACAGAAAATGCAATAATTATTAAACATGGACAACGGTGGCCTTTACTAATTGATCCAGAAAGCCAAGCTTACAAATGGATATGTCAAATGGAAGGCACCAAATTGAAACAAATCAATGCTACAGATGCCAATTACTTAAAAACAATTGAATATTCTTTGCAGTTTGGTGAATCAGTCCTTTTGCAGGTAATTCGACTTCAACACAGACAGCATATCTAACATACAAATGAAGAAAAATATAATGCAATCAGTGCAAAAGATGAGCACCTACACTATAACTTAGGAGGTTTTGAAGTAATTCCCTATTTATTATTAAAAGGCATTTGTTTAAAAAAATAGTGTGGGCTGATTTTACTAATTAATATTGGATATAAATTAAAAGTTAGAATTCTGAAAACTATTAAACTCCAGGTTTCAAAATAGTATAGGCAGGATCTTTCTTTCCAGGGTTCTTTCCAGAAAAGAATATATATTTGTTTGGTCTCTGTTAGTGTTTGGGGATAAACCCCCAAGCAGAGTATGCAGCAGCAGTCAAGCCAGGCAGGCAAATGAGAGAGAGAGTGGGCCCAAGAGTATACACACACTGGAGACAAAAACACTGTAGTTATAAAATAGTTATTTAATACACACAGAGATTAAGAAGTGTCATTCAGTCCATATGTCATTATCCAGTATATCCATCCAGTTATCAAGTCCATTAACAGTAAATACAATGTCCTTATCTGCTTGTAAATCTTCTCCTCCCGATACCTTTCTCTCAAAGACAACGCCGAGTAAACAGCTCACCAAGTAAACAGTCCAAAAGGTATCTGGCACAGTAGCCTCCAAGAGTAAGCAGATAGACGTTGCAGCAGGCAGCAGACCAGGAACAGAACCAGGTGCATCCAGAAGCAGGGTCTATTACGTTTCCCTTCCTACCTATATTGCTGCCTGCAACCGCACCCACAATGACATTGCAGTTTCTTGTGCTTAAAGCTACAATACACTTAAACCTAGGTTTACATATTTATTCAACCCAAACCTGGTTGGTGTATCCATATACCCAACAGTCTCAGTCAACAGGGTGAAAGCCATGTCTTCACTGCTTTCCTGAAAGCTAACATAATAGAATAGAATAGAATAGAATTTTTTACTGGCCAAGTGTGATTGGACACACAAGGAATTTGTCTTTGGTGCAAAAGCTCTCAGGGTACATAAAAGCTATAAGTGATAGCTGATATGATCATAGTCCTCATAAAAATACATTCATTATAAATCATAAGATACAACACTTAGTGATAGTCATAGGATACTAAATAAACAACATAAATCATGCTAGGAAACTACAGTAAACAAGCAGTATAAATTGTAAAGATACAAGCAACCAAGTTATAGTCATAAATAGAAAAGGAGATAGGTAATAGGAAAGATGAGAATAAATAATACAGCTTTACTAAATAGTTTGACAGTGTTGTGGGAATTACTCATTTAGCAGAGTCATGGCAAGGAGGAAAAAAACTGTCCTTATGTTTAGTTGTTCTGGTGTGCAATGCTATATAATGTCATTTTGAGGGTAGAAGTTGAAACAATTTATGTCCAGGATGCGAGGGGTCTGTAGATATTTTCATAGCCCTCTTTTCGACTCAAGCAGTATATAGGTCTTCAGTGGAAGGCAGGTTGATAGCAATTGTTTTTTCTGCAGTTCTAATTATCCATTGAAGTCTGTGTCTGTCTTGTTTGGTTGAAACCCAAACCAGACAGTTATAGAGGTGCTGATGACAGACTCAATAATTCCTGTATAGAACTGTATCATCAGCTCCTTGGGCAGTCTAAGCTTTCTGAGTTGGCACAGAAAGAACATTCTTTCTTGTGCTTTTTTGAGGATGTTTTTGATGTTAGGTGTCCATTTTAGATCTTGTGATGATAGAACCTAGAAACTTGAACCTAGAAACAGTATCTCTACTGTTGATACTGTGTTGTCTAGTATTGTAAGACATGATAGTATAGGAGGATTTCTCCTAAAGTCTACCATCATTTCTATGCTTTTGAGTGTATTTAATTCAATGTTGTTCTGGTCGCACCACAAAGCTAGTTGTTCAAACTCCCATCTGTATGCAGATTAGTCAATGTCTCAAATGAGGCTAATAATTGTTGTATCATCTGCAAACTTCAATACCTTAACAGAGGGTTCTTTTGAGATGCAGTCATTGGTATATAGAGAGAAGTGGAGACAGCACACAGCCCTAGGAGTGGGAGGGGGTGGCATGCTAATTGTACTGGTAGATACAGATTAACAGAGTTGGAAGGGACCTTGTAGGTCATCTAGTCCAACCCCCTATGGTTTATCATATTAAGTATGACTGGTATCTGATGTGATTTTGCCTAGCGGCACCTGCTGCTTCCTGTCTGTTAGAAAGCTTATGATCCACTTACAAGTGTGATCAGGCACAGCTAGCTAATTTAGTTTAGTTAGAAGCATATCTAGAATGATGGTATTGAATGCCAAGTTGAAGTCTACAAAGAGGACCCCTGCATAGATCCTTGTAGATTCAAGATGTTGTAGGGTGTAGTGCAGAGCCATATTAACAGCATCATCTGCCTATCTATTTGCTCAGTAGGCACATTGCAAAGGGTCTAACAGCAGATCTATGATGGTTTTCAGAGGCCCAGCACTAGCCTTTCAAAGGTTTTCATAACTATGGATGTCAGAGCAACCAGTCTGAAGTCATTGTGGTCCTCAATGGAGAATTTCTTCAGCACTGGGATGATAATAGAGTATTTGAAGCAAAAAGGATTATAGCACATCTCTAGTGATTTATTAAAGATGTGGATGAAGATGAGGTCCAGTTGGTCAGCACAAGAAAGAGAACTACTGAAGAACTGTACCTCTACTCCATCCTCCCTAGCTAACCCAGAGGAAAACCATGATCAACAGCATCCTAGGAAAGTCAGGTTGAATACATTATCCTCATCCTAGGGTGAGGATACTTATCAATAGTATCTCAGTACTATATCCTAATCTGAAACTGACTGTAATGGAGCCAGATAACCTGCTTCCTTCAAGGGCCTTTCAAGCTGTAGAAAGATCACCAACTAAACAATCTTCCTCAAAAAGGAAAGGTCAGAGATTAGACCCACATGGCGAAAGTTTAACTCTGAACAATTCTAAATCTAACAGAGGCTTCATGTAATCCTAACAGTCGCCTTGCAAATGTTCCTGAAACCCTCCTCTGTACAAACATAATGGAGTCCGATACATTCTAACTATTATTTATTGTAGAGTATAAGTTTAAGGACCATTGACACTGTAGGTATAGAAGTTAAGACAGTTTCCAATTGTCTAGGCAATATAGGGGCCTCTAATTCTTTATTTCATTTATCCCTTACCATCTGCCTATTAAATTGACTTACTGACAACAAACAATTATAGAAACTAATTGTAGCTGTTTTAGTTTTAAAAGATTTAACCAGTTTTTCTAACAACTTGCGTGTCTCAGAAGCAGTGCAAACAATGGTATTAGCAAATGTTCTAACTGTAAATATTGTCAATGAGTTATATTTGATAGATGATATTTGTCTCTTAGTACAGCATATGTTATAAATTCATCCGCATCATCTTATCAATTGGTCCCAAATCAATGTCCCCACTTTCAGCTATTTTTTCCAAATTGCCATCTTTCTCCCAATTTTTAACGTTGGATTTCTGCATAAAGTCAATTTAGCATGGGGAAAAGGATTAAATCTCTTTTTTAGATATTACATTCCACGGCTTTTTAATTGATATGAATGTTTCCAGAGATATTAGAGCTCTAATTTGGCATGTAAGGAATGTTTCAGTGAAAAATTAAGTTTTTAAATGATATAACCAAATCTCTACATGAAAGAGCTATACGAGGAAAAGGGGAAGCAATAAAATTGAATCACAGAATTAAAAATAAAAATTTAAATGTTGATCTCATTAAACTATTTTTATATTATCCGTTTGAATAAAATCTTGGATTTTAGAACACCCATTGCAAACAGGATGGTTAGGAGAGACTGTATCTAGTTTTTCGCTATCATGTGGTATGGACAGTCCTTTTCTTGGTGGTGGTTCTTGTGGAGATTAATTGGTAGTTTTTCTCTTGGACATTAATTTCATAGTTCTATACAATGTAGCTTTAAGCGAAAGCTAGCCAACTGATATCTTTTAATTATCATTTGGATAATCAAATAAAACACCCCAACTCTAGTAATGCAATACAAATTATGAAATCAGTAAATTAGTTTATCTCTGACATCACTTCCCTACCAATGTAGTAGTTGAATAATAAAAACACTTCTAGTTTTCAGCTATTAAGGCATTGAGAACTAATCTGGCTAGTGATTAAGAGGTTAGACTGGAAATGGGGAAATAGATTTTAGTTCTGGTCCTGTTTTCAACTTTTATTTTTAAGTTCTAGTCCTCCTTTGATACAAAAATCCAGCAAGGTGATTTTGGGCAAGTCATTCTCGTCCTCATGTTTGAAAATGTTGCCAAAAAATCTACATGTTCTATACCAACATCCATATAGACATCATGTAAGAATTGCATGAGAAAGACTGGGTGAGAAATAAAATATGAATTCTTGTTCATTCATGCTTCTTATATTGTCATCAATTTATAATGTTTTGTGCATTGTTAAGCTGTAGCAATACATTATTGTTCCTCACAGGAAGCAATTCCTCATCAAAAAAGAGCAAAGTATAGAGTATCTTAATTACTGTAGGAGGTGCCTTTTTCAAAGAACAGGAAAATTACTTACTGTATGTAATATTAACTACAGTCTTGTATTTTTTAGGATTTTCCTGAAACATTGGATTCAAATATAAAATCAATCTTAAGCAAGGAGATCTACAAAAAAGGAGGACAAGAATTCATTAGAATAGGAGATTCTGAAATTCAGTACAATTCAGACTTTCGGTAATTGCTTGCATAAATTGAATAATTTAAGCCTGCATTTTATATTCACCCTAACAAGAATTTGTACTTTGAAAGAAAGATAAAGACTTCTAAATATTCTCAAGTCATGGGATATATTTAAATATTCGTTAGAGTTTATTCATGTGGATTATTTCCAAGCAAATTCCCAATAAGAGAATATAATGACCACTAAATCAAAACTATATTACTGTACTAATATTTGCACTGTTATGACCAGAAATGTCATGACCAGATTTTACAATTTTATTGCTGAACATTATTTGGAAATTGTCTACTACTACTAGATTAAAATTATTTTAAAAACAGTATCAGAGTATATAAAACCATGTGCATCACAGAAAGCCGTAATGCGTTATGCACTATTAAATCCAGTGCAGTTCACAAGCAACAGAGCTACCAGAACTATCTAGCACCTTGGATTCTAGGAGAAAAGGTGCTTCAGAATACATGTGTATGCATGCATAGCATCATTCAATATTTTTTTTATACCTAATGCAATATTTTCCCATGATTATATATTTTATTATTATTTATGTAATTATGTTACAGAAGAAAACTACACAAATCTGGGAAAAGATGCAGCTATTTTAAGGGGTTAACAATAGATATGTGTGAGCACTCCTGTACATTCTAAAGCAGTTTTCTCTTCAGATATCCTAATAGCTACCTCAGTGGCCACTCATAGATTACTTCTCTAGTGAGATTCATACTGCTGCGCTAGAACTAAGTATCAGTTGATAAAGATCATTAAATCATCTGAGCATGCAAAAGGAGCGTTTTCCTTTACAATTAAACTTAAGGCAAGACATATGTTTACCATAGGTGTGTGTTCATTTTCTCTTATAAAACTGAAGCTTAGAAGATTTTAGACTGTCCAAAAAATAGCAGGGTGGAAAATAAACCTGCCCTTTCTTTGCAACCCACAATTCAGTTGTCAACTCTATTCTTGCAAGAAGTTGAGAAAGAGTGGAAACTACTTCCACATGCCATATTTTCAAAAGTATATGCTTTAATCCTGTCCTGTTTTAAAACAGGGCATATGAATATGTAACTAATCAATAATTAATCAGTGAGGGAGAAAGATCATGGGAGTAGAAACTAAACCTCATGAGGAGACTAAGACATACAAAATATATAGAATGAAAAGAAGAAACCCAGTAGGAAAAGAGGTGAAACCACACTTTAAGTGCCTGAAAATGTATTATTCAGAACACAGCCTAATTAATTCATCCAATAATGTGCAAAATAATTGCTATGACTTAGAGAAAAGCAGATTGCAGATGCAATGTAAGAAAAAATATTTTTATATTGTTCTTTTTACCTTGTTAAAAGTTCCTGAAGTACTACTGCTACCATTATTATTGTTGTTGTTGTTGTTGTTATTATTATTATTATTATTATTATTATTATTATTATTATTAAAATTAGAGATACTTTATGTTAAGTTTGAGCAATGAGAGGCTGAACCAGAGCATGAGTGCAACAATACTTTATTTTACAATAAAGGGCTGACCGTGCTTGCCACGCCTGGAACTGGCTCGCAGCAATCAGCAACTGGTTGGACCCCGCAGCCTGCTTTTATAGCTGGCTGCTGGAGAGAACCAACCAATGGGAATGGGGGAATAACGCCCACACAAAGTGAGTGGACCTGAGTGAGAACTCCTAGAGTTCTCAGGACATAACACCCCTTCCCCCCAGATGCGAACATGCATAGTCCTTGAGGTAGACGGGGGGTTTGTGTTGGCACCCGGAACGGCGCAGCTCGGGAACATTGTCTGTCTGTTCGGTATCAGTCTGTGACGGTTGAGCCGGCATAGTGTCGCCAACGCTCCCTCCGGACTGGGCATCCTCGGAAACCACCGGGTTGGTTACTGGGGTCGAGCTCTCGTGGGTTGGATCAGGCTGGTCACATCTCTGGGCGCTGTTGTCCGAGTTTGGGTTGACCGGAGCGACCGCTGGTGCAGACTGGTCGTTGGGTGCGATGTGGCTGGGCGGCGGATGTGGTGGTTCCTCTTCGACTGGAGACTCTGGATTCTTGTTGGCAAGGGTGCTGGGGCGCCTTCTAAGCTGGTCTATGTGTCTCCTCCAGACGCGACCATCCTCCAGCCTTACCCTATACGATCTCGGCCCGGTGACGGCGATGACCTCGCCTGGAATCCAAAGTGGGTCCCCAGCGAAATTCCTTGCGAATACTGGCTCCTGTAACATAAAATGTCTAACCCCCGAAGTAGAAGCGAGGGGAGAGTCAGGGCAGTATTGAGGGTGCAGTCTGTCCAATACAGTCCTCAGGCGCCGGCCCATTAGAAGTTCCGCTGGGGACTTATTGGTGACTGTACAGGGGGTTGAGTGCTGGCTCATCAGGAACCGTGCGAGTTTGTGGTGCCAGTCATCCCTGCCAAACCTAGCGAGGGCCTCTTTGGTGGTCCTGACGGCCCTTTCAGCCAACCCATTACTGGCAGGGTGAAATGGGGCTGTGAAAATGTGGCGAATGCCCAGGTTGGCAGCAAAACGGCTGAATTCTACTGATGCGAACTGTGGGCCATTATCGGAGACAATGGAGTCGGGTAGTCCATGTGTAACGAACAGGCGCGTTAACACGTTGGTGATTGCTAGTGTGGTGGTCGTGGATAGCTGTGCCACGTCTATCCATTTGGAATAAGCGTCCACGACCACTAGGAACATCTTTCCATGCACGGGGCCGGCCAGATCGATATGGATTCTAGACCAAGGGGCGCTGGCGCTCTCCCATCTGGTAGGGGTGGCGATGGGGGGAGCAGGACGGGATTCCTGGAAAATGCTGCAGGAACTTACCCAATTGACAATGTCCTCGTCTAGACCCGGCCACCACACGTAGCTGCGTGCTAATGACTTCATTCTCACGATGCCGGGGTGTCCCTCGTGCAACGCCTCCAGGACTCGGGTACGCAGCGAGGTCGGAATGACCACTCGAGTGCCCCACAGTAGACAACCCTGCAAACTGGACAGCTCCTGCATGCGAGTCTTAAAGGGTGCGAATTTGTTATCAACGTTGCCTCCCGGCCACCCCCTCCTCACCCAGTCGAGCACCTGGGCGAGCGCTTGGTCTGCCTTGGTTTTAGCGGCGATGTCAAGGGCGATGATGGGCAGGTCCAACTGGGTGATTTTGAAAATGGCGTTGACAGGAGCTGGGTCTTCAGCCGGAGCGGGTAAGGGGCAGCGACTGAGAGCGTCGGCGTGGGATAGAGTTTTGCCCGGGCGGTGAATAAGTTTGTATGAGTAGGCCGCTAGGAAAAGTGTCCACCTTGTCATCCTAGGGGAAAGGACTTGAGGTGTCTGTTTGTCGCCGGCCAGTAGGCCCAGGAGGGGTTTATGGTCGGTGACCAGTTCGAAGCAGTGGCCAAAAAGGAATTCGTGAAACTTTTTCACGGCCGCAACAGCTGCTAGGGCTTCCTTGTCTATTTGGCTGTAGTTTTGCTCCGTGGCCGAGAGCGTCCTGGAGAAAAAGGCGATGGGGGCCTCGGCGCCATTGGGGAGTCTGTGACTAAGGACCGCCCCAATTCCAAAAGGGGATGCGTCTGCTGCCAGTACTAAAGGAAGGTTGGGGTCGAATTGGATGAGCACTGCCTCTGACGTAAGTAGTGATTTGACGGCGTTAAACGCCTGGTCTTCTTTGTGCCCCCAGTGCCACGGTGACTTTTTGTCTAGTAATCTGTGTAGGGGTTCGGCTACTGAGGCTTTATGGGGCAAGAAGGATGCATAAAAGTTCAGCAGCCCCAAGAAAGCTTGTAGCTCCGTTTTGGAGGTTGGTGTGGGAGCTTCGTGGATTGCCCTAACCTTGGACTCCAGGGGGTGAATGCCAGAGGCGTCAATTTTATAACCCAGAAAGTCCACCTGTCTAGTGGCAATGGCGCATTTTTCTTTTTTTAACTTGAGGCCATGCTGTCTGAACCTCTCTAACACTGCTCGCACTCTCTGGAAGAGTTGGGGTCTGTCCCTGGCCGAGACCAAGATGTCGTCGAAGTAGGGTACTACACCAGGGAGGCCCTGTAAAATCCGCTCCATGAGGGATTGAAAAATACCCGGGGCAACACTTACGCCAAATTGGAGACGCTTGCATCGGAAGGCACCCCTGTGAGTGACGATGGTCTGAAGTTCCGCTGTTTGGTTATCAACAGGGAACTGCTGATATGCTTGAGACATGTCCAATTTAGCAAAAATACTGCCCGGCTCGAATGTGTGTAATAAGTGCTGAATGACGGGCACAGGGTAGGCGCTAACTTGTAAATATTTATTGATTGTTGTCTTGTAGTCCGAGCAAATTCTCAGGCTACCATCTTTTTTAAGGGGTGTGACAATGGGCGTCTCCCACTTGGCGAAATCTGTTGGCTCAATGACCCCTTGTTTTAGTAGTTTATCCAATTCAGCGTCTAGTTTTGGTCGAATAGCAAATGGAACTCTACGTGGTTTTAATCTGATTGGGACTGCCTGGGGGTCAACGGTGAACGAGATGGGGGTTCCATTATAACACCCCAGCTCCTCGCTGAACACATCTGCGTAGTCAGCGAATAAGGAGTCAGTGTCTGAGGTTGAGACAGCATGGACTCCTGTTAGCCCTAGGCCGAGGTGGGGAAACCAATCGAGCCCCAATAAGGTGGGTAGATTGCCGTTAACTACCACTAGAGGTAGGTGGCCTTTAAAAGCTCTAAAACTGACAAAGAACTTGCCTCTGCCGATCACGGGAATGGCCTTCCCCTGGTAGTCCTTCAGACCGAACTGGCATCTCTGAAGCTGGGTAGTAGATAGGCTGGGATGGAGTCTCTTGAGGGTGCTCCACGAGATTATTGAGAGCGCTGACCCTGTGTCAACCTCCATGTGGCACGGTTTACCTTCTAGGGAAACGGAGAGAGAAATTTTACTAACAGTGTGGCAAGTACGCCTGGCAAGGCGGTGCGTGCGACAGTTTAATACTTGCCTCTGTGGTCCCGAGTGCGAGGACGGGGGTCTGTGTGCAGCGCTTTGAGGGGCTTGGCAGACTCTCGCGATGTGCCCCCTCTTATGGCAGTTGCAAGTGGCTCCTTTAAACTTGCAGGTGGCCCTTTGATGCGATCCCCCACAGGCTAGGCACAGTGTGATGTGCCTGGGTGGACCAGTGTATTCTTGTTTGGCCCCTACCTGCGATCGTCTGTCGTTGGCGAGGCGGTGGACGTCGTTTTCATCGTTGTGGGTTTCCTCCGCTTCCACCTCTTCGGAATGGACTGGGAACGACGCCAACTTGGCACTTGGGCCCTGAATTTCGGTGGCTGAGTTCGTTGCTAGCTCGGCTGCTAGGGCCTCCTCGACCGCTTGCGCGAGGTTGAGGTCTTTTTTTGCTAGCAGGCGCCTCTGTAGGTTGAGATCCTTGACCCCACAAACTAATTGATCGAGGAGCATGTCCTCCAGGTATGTTCCAAACCCGCAGTGCAGGGCTGCTGTTCTGAGGGCGGCCATATATTGATTGATGGTCTCCTTACTTGATTGCTTCCTCATACGGAACGTGAACCTCCTGGCGATTTGTGAAGGCCTGGGAGCGTAGTGGTTAGTGAGGATCTCAAGCAACTCGGACCACGGAACGTTTTTCAATTCTCTCGGCGCCACGAGTGCTGCGGCGGTATCGTAAATGGTGGCTCCGCAGTAGATTAGGAAATAGGATTTTTTCCGATGCTCTCCCGCATCCGCCAGGCCGACCGCATCGATGTAATGATTGAAGCGGTTCTTATACGATTCCCACTTCTCTTCGTCTGGTTTAAACGCCGGGAATACTGGGTTGGAACTCATGGTGCTGGAACGGCTGGGCTACCTGCGGAAAAATCTCTCTGGGACAACGGGCGCTCGTGAGTTACTAGTGATATCAGCTCTGGAGAGGTTTTTGCTACCCTCTCTTTTTCTCTCTGGGTTACCACGTTGGCTGCTAGCCGTTGGAGGTGTCTTGATTCGCACCAAAAGTGGGCGTTAGTGACTTCCTACAGCGCTGTGCTGTGTCTCCTACTGGCTCGAAATTCAAATGACACCCGTTTGAATTTCGCGCCAAATACAGAGCGGCTGCGGCTCGCAGCGCTTCACTTTCCCCGTAGCGGGGCTAACAAGCGGCTACAGACGCTTCTAACTTTTGAACCAGACCGCTTTCTCTGGCTGCGGATCAGCGTTTGCTCTTTTTGATCGCTCGTTTTGTTGGCTGACTGCTCTCTCTGGCTGCGGATCAGCGTTTCCCTTATCGCCAGCCGATCGCTCTCTCTGGGCTGCGGATCGGTGGCTAGTGACTCAGCGGTTGCATGGTGCTTCTGGTAGCCATCCCACCTTCGTCGCCAGTGTTAAGTTTGAGCAATGAGAGGCTGAACCAGAGCATGAGTGCAACAATACTTTATTTTACAATAAAGGGCTGACCGTGCTTGCCACGCCTGGAACTGGCTCGCAGCAATCAGCAACTGGTTGGACCCCGCAGCCTGCTTTTATAGCTGGCTGCTGGAGAGAACCAACCAATGGGAATGGGGGAATAACGCCCACACAAAGTGAGTGGACCTGAGTGAGAACTCCTAGAGTTCTCAGGACATAACACTTTAATTTAGACTTCTGTAGACTTAATCACAGTCTTTCTGCTCTATACATTCAAACCACCCAACTCATGAACATTTCTTACGGTCCTTGGTGATTATTCCTTATTGAGTCACTCCAACTCAATAATGAGCATTGGCAAGTTGAAATGTCCTGTTGTTCTACTCAATATTTAAAAAAGAAAATTACCAATTAAAATTAATTTCCAATGAAAGTCCCTGAAAACATAACACAACTTTACAGATTTTTTTAAAGTTCAGGTCAAGCAAGAGCCAAACAGACCTGTTCCATATGCTGGAAAAGGTACTCTGAAAGTCGGGGGTGGAGCAAACTTCCAAATATGCAGATCTTAATAACCAGACAGTGATATATTGATACTCCCTTACATTAGATAGCCATGTTTTATGTCACTGAGGTCTTTATAGACTAGTATTTTAGATTAAATGCAAGTAAGAAAATAAATAAAAAATTGGCTCTAGAAAAAAATATTCAGGATGTTAAACAATATTAGATATTCTTTTTAATATAAAATATAATATAATATTTTATGATATTAAAAAAATCAAAAATTATGTAACATACGCAAAAAGCTTTATAAATATTTGTGATTATTTCAGATTATATCTGACAACACAGAAACCCAATCCTCATTTTCTGCCAGCAACATGCAATATTGTTACTATGATAAACTTCACTTTAACATTCCATGGTTTGCAAAATCAGCTTTTATCTGCAGTTGTAAATAAAGAAAAACCTGAGCTTGAAAAACAGTACTGCACGTTGATGGAAAGCTTATCAATTGATCTGGTAGCACTACATGAATATGAACAAAGATCACTTCAACTTTTGCAAAAAACAACTGGTAAATATAACTTTGAAAAACTTCATATATTTTATATTATTTTGCCGAAAGCACAAAATGTTATTAAATAGAATTCAAAGGCCAAAAACTTCATTTTTTTGGAAATAATGTTTCATTATCTGTGTATAAAGGCTTATAAACTTCATTTAGCATAAAAACTGATACTTGCCAACTCACATGTTCTTCAACTATTATTAACATAATTCTGCATCATGCTAATTATAATTGAAGGACACCTTCTTACAGTAATTTTCATTGTAATTTTATGATCATCCCAGTAGTGGGATTCAAATAATTTAACAGCCAGTTCTCTGCCCTAATGACTGGGTGGGCAGAGCTGGGTGGTCATGTGACTGGGTGGGCATGGCCAACTTGATTGGTCTCACCCTTAGGAAATTTCTCCTTAGTCCAACTCACAATAAAATAGCACAATAAAATAGCACTGTTCCAATATTTAGAATAGAATAGAATAATAGAGTTGGAAAGGACCTTGGAGGTCTTCCAGTCTAACTCCCTGCTTAGGCAAGAAACCCTACACCACTTCAGACAAATGGTTATCCAATCTCTTCTTAATAACTTCCAGTGTTGGAACATTTACAATTTCTGGAGGCAAGTTGTTCCACTGATTAATTGTTCTGTCAGGAAATTTGAAGGGCTCCTACAAAAATGAGGGAGTCAATCTATTTTCCAAAACACCAAAAGGCACAACAAGAAACAATGGATGAAAACTAACCAAAGAAAGAAGCAACCTAGGACTAAGGAGAAATTTCCTAAGGGTGAGAACAATCAGAAGTTGGTGGGTGATCCATCTCTAGAGGCTTTCAAAAAGAGTGAGGGAAGTCTACCCCAAAAGGACAGTGCCAGGAACCTTTTTTTAAAAAGGTCAAAAAGTCAACCCCAAAGCAAACACAGCAGCTGAGAGGGAAACTAAGAGCAGCTGCTCATGATAATTGAAAGCCTGGGCATGCTGCCAAAAGCCATTCACCCTTCCAACTCTATTATTCTATATTCTCTATGTTCTAAATTGGGTGCTTCACAGCAGAAGCAATACAGCTGGCTGGACCACACATGCATTAAATTCCTGTATAATCAAGCTTCATCATTGTCCTCTCCTGCATCTTTTCCCCCAGGAAGAAACAAGTAGCCAACACTGTAGCAGTTATAAAGGTCTTGGGGAACTCCAGGGAGTATCAGCTGATCACAGAAGTGTTACTTAATACTCTTTATAATGAAAATGTTTGTAATCTTGTCCTTCTTCCTGAAGGACAATCCTATCCTTAATCCTATCCTTAGATGAGTGATTGATGGGTTTCCCTGCCCTAATGCTGTCAGTTTCTATTGTTTATTGACTTGATTAGCTTGTATGGCTGCATTCTAGCTGCAACTGTTAAGTGATTCTTGCTGTCTGCCCAGAGCTATTAACTGAAGTGGGAGAGAGAGAGAAAACCCTCTCTTGCACTTTATTTTTAGTCGGTTCTCCAAATTGCATAAGCAATTAACTAACAGTTGGGGGAAACTGATGAGAACCAGCTGAATCCCACATGTAGATGATCCCCAAATGCTTTCCTATAACTTTCTATGCTTTCTGTTATATAAATAAAAATCAGTTAACACCAGTAATTGGGATTGGAATTTCCATGGATAAGCAATGCAATTGTAAAGCATGATGCCCTGTAACTACAACACTTAGTGATGGCAAACCTGAACTCCTGATTGCCATCATTAAGTGAGAGTCATTGTAGTTGCTGTATCAATGAGATGAACAGCATAGATATTGAATAAATAAATATATAACCACAGGCCATTAAGCAATTTCCTGCAGACTTCAACAAGCAAAATCATTGGGGAAGATGGCAGGCAGTTATAAATTCAAGGGGCTGGCATTGCATGAGCATAGCATGTCTTGGGATGGCTGCTGCAGGGTGTGGAAGGATGCAACAGGTCACATAAGGGGCTGGTGTAGCATGAGCACATGTAATGGTATGTGGGAAAGACCTTGAGAGACAGGACAAAGGCTTAAGAGTACAGTCAGATATGGAAGGACAGCCCAAAGCAGGGATGTGGGTAGAGCAATAGGTTCAGAAAGGATCCTCTCTAACTTTTTGGACTGTAAAGAAGATGATAAGGGATCTGTACTTTCAGATTGATGTCAATCTTCCCAGGTAAACAAGAAAGAAAACATGACCAAGAGAACTTTATTATATGGCTATATTAACACAATCATGGAAGTCTAAAAATACAAACCTCCCACCATCTCCTTTATGGTCCAAGAAGACAGTTTGTGTTTTATTATACCCCTTGATCCAGTATAACTAGTATACAAAAATATACACACAGAATGAGCTGGAATCTTGTATTTTAAAATACGCAGTTCAGAGGGATAGTTCTCATTATCTTACACTTGCTGATGTCCCTTTATATATCACTTATATTACATCCCTCTTCCAAACATGAAATGAAACATGTATTTCTGACACTGTTCATATTTTTCCTGGAACTCCAAATACGTGTTTGTCATAGTCCCAGTGTATTCCCCTGGCAACTTTTATTTACAAGAACCCCAACAACTGGCATCTCCATAAGTAAAAATATGTTTTTCTCTGGGACCAGGCAGCTACAATATGAGCCCAGGAAAAGATGCAGCCTTTTTAAGATGGTTTCAGCAGCTGCAGCAAGGTTTCCTTTTCCCTCCAGCACCTTTTCAGATCCAAATAGCTGCATAATTCTAGTAATGTCATATAAAACTATTGTACTAGTTTCATAACTTTGCTAACAGGGCTCCCTTGTTATACTGCTTTCTGGTTTATAAAGTGAATATTTAATTTACAAAATAAAATTATTTAATTTATTCTATTCTACAATTCAATTACACTTTTTTACAGGGCACCTTTTAGATGACCAAGCCCTCATTGAAAATTTGCAGCGAACAAAAATTACCTCATCAGAGATTTTTCAGCGTGTAGCAGATTCAGCAGCAACAGAAGTCACCATAGAAGGATTGCGTAAAGCCTATATTCCTATAGCAACTCGTGGTGCTGTGCTCTACTTTGTAATATCAGAACTTGTACACATCAACCATGTCTATCAGTTTTCACTGAATTGGTTTCATAAGATCTTTGTAGATTCTATAGATAATGTGAAAAAAAGTGACATTTCTCTCAGTGATTCTCTTTCAAGTACAAAAATAAGTGAATATAAGGTACAAAGTGAAGAAACATTAACGAAAAGTGAGACTGAGATAGATCACTTCAAAATACATATTGATGATATAATTGAGACACTAACATATCATGTCTACGAGGTACTTAAATATCATGATACATACATTATTTTCAGCCAATAGGACTTGCATATGTATTTGGCAAATGTGGCAAATATTAATGTGTTACATGTTTTTTTTATTTTGCAGACAGTTTCTTCAGCTGTGTTCAATAAAAATAAGCTATGCTTTGCTTTCCTGCTTTGCACAGCAATCATGAAAAATAATTATGGTGAAAATGTATTCACAAATAAGCTTGGATTTATATCAGAGAATGAGTGGAATTTCTTCCTGTACTCTGGCATGATAGCAAATATTAAGCAACCATCAATCTCTGACTGTAATGGTAAACAAAAAATATTCATATTTTCAATAAAAAAATGTGTAAAGATATAATGTGCTCTCAGGAATTGATTTTGTCATCCTTGAGTAAATATGTAACATACATGGAAATTATAGTAAGAATTGGCCATAGAAAACTATTTAATCAACATACCATATTTCAATTGAGCTAAGCAATTACTTTTAGATTTTATAATGCTGTCCCTAAAATTTTTGTGAACAATTATAAAGTTGGTTGAAAATTGTCAAAATAAGAAATGTGAATACTGAGAAAAATTAATCAAAAATATGCCAAATCTTTATATGTTATTTCTAATGTTACGGGCATTGATTAATAGTTAATTTTCTAAATGTAAGAGTTTGTATATCTATGTATGTATGTGTGCTTATGTGTGTGTTTTATAAGTGTGAAATATGGTCATGTCACTTTTTTCAGTGCTGTTATAACTTTGAACAGTCACTAAATGAAAGATAGTAAATTGAGAATTACCTGTACTATGTTACATGACTTAAGAGGAAATGGAAATAAAAAATCAATTAAATGAATAAAAAAACCTTTTTTTCTCTTTTCCTGACATTTCTCAGATCAGATATCTATTCCTACAGATGTTTCTTCCTAAGCATAGCAGATATATGCTTATTTAGCTCTTCTGGCCAATCCCGTGCTACCAGTGAACAGGGACTTGTATAAATTCCTTTTCTCTTGTCTCTTAATTATGTTGTTTTCCTTCAGTTGCTTTATTATTTTCTTATCTACCAATATTTTAACAGTGGAGATAGCAGAAGTACCTATCAATTCCCAAGTAGATATTTGATTTCTTCTGTATTACAGTTATAGAATTGTAGCTTTAGAAAGCCACACAGGCTTTCAAGACTCACCAAGCACCTGTTGGGTGCTAAAATCCAAATTATTTTTTCCTATTTGACAACTCTCAGCACTTAATTGAAGCATATCAGACAAGTAAGTATCTAATCTTTGCTTGAACACATTGATGAAGGTTAAAGGGAAAATGACTTTGCTTGGTAAATTGTTCTGATGTAGGATTATTCTTATTTTTAGGAGGTTTTTTCTATTATTTTTAAATATTCAACTGGAATCTGTCTTCCAATAATTTAAATCCATTATTCCTGATTCTTTCTTTTGGAATCTGAGAAAAACTATCTTGATCTTTTTCCATGTGACATCCTTTCTGATATTTGAGGAGTGCTGTCATATCTTATTCTCCATAATTTCTTCTAAGACTAAAGATATGCAACTCTTAGAGTCATTCTTTATAGGACTTGGTTTCTAATTCCTTGTCAGCTTTGTTGCCTTTTTCTGAACTAATTCCAGTTTCTTTGATTGCTTCTTAAATTATGGTGCCAAGAATCACTTACAGTTCTGAAGTTCTTTGGATTCAATAGAACAGACTAGAAAAATTATGCCTGGTAATGTCATTCTTTGTAGGATTTTATAGGGATTGGTATCTTGAATTCATGAGCAAAATTGCTTTGCTGAACTTTTTCACTTTTGGCCTTAGTAAAGATATGCAACACTTTCTGCAATTGTTACAATTAGCATCCCTTTTTCTGGGTTATCCTGATACAATTCAATTGTGCATGAAGAACACACTACGAAGTACCATATAAGCATAATATATCTTTAGAAATAAAGTTTTATATGTTAAAACAATATATTGAAGAAATTAGGAAAACTTTATATTACTATAAATATAGATGCATTTATGAGTTATTTTAACAAAGCAATCAAATGCATGTCTAGGCAGAACAACATTCCTCTTTGTTCAATATATAATTGATATGCTAGAGGAGGGTTGTGTTAGACTTTTGTTAAATTTAGGGGGCATTAGCAGGGGTGAGATTCTCCTGGTTCAGACCAGTTCGGGCGAATCCCTAGCTGCAATGCTCCGAACCAGTTCGATCCAAACCGGTTCGATCCAACGATCATGTGGGCCTGCCCACCTGTCCCTGTGCTGTACTCATCTATATATGCTCAGCTGACTCACATGGCAGAACGGATTGGTGCACCTCAGCTGTGTTACTTCCCTGAAATAACATTGAAGGTAAATAATTGTGATAGCTATGCACGCGCGCACAGCTTCTTAGACCATGCAATTAGTGAACCGCTTGTTGCACCAGGAGAATCCCGCCCTTGGGCATTACCCAAGCTATCTCTTAAAATGCCAAAGAAATATTAACTCACAGCAAACTGATTGTGTCCTCCTGGTGATTAAACCAAGTTTAAATACTACCACAGGATACAGCGTTATTCTACAAAATGGCTGAGAAGAGGAAAGGAAAGGAAAAACTGGGCATCTTGAATATGTTAGGTCTAAAGATAAATTCTCTTCTAAATATCTTCTGTGTAAAGTCCCCTTTAGGGTGGTTCTGAAACTGACAACAGTTTCTGCACATATATTACTTTTAGTCACAACTTCTAGGGTCGTGATTGGTCAATTGACTGCCTCTCAGATTGGCTTTTCAATCCACTAGTCAGGATGATCATGACAACATGGACATATTGCAGCCAAAATTAATAATTTGGTTATAATTTATGTATTGAATTAAAATCAGAATACTTATATGTGTCCTAATTAAATGTTTCATATTATTTTATTAGGTTCATGTGTATTTAACAAAATGGCTCCATTCTACTGGATAAATGAAATAATGTGGAAAGAATGTCAGTGCATGAGTACTCAAATACCTGCATTCAGCCTATTGTGCAGTTCTCTGTCAACATATCCTCAACAGTGGAAAGATTTTCTGGATAGTGAGAATGTGTATGATTTAATTAGTACATGTTATAGACCATTATCACAAAAGCAAGGTAACTGCTAAAATATAATGATTTTTCTGAGCTTATACAATTTCAAGAAAATGCAAGTTTGAAGTTTCTGTACATCCTTTACCTCTACCTCTTCCAAAACCACCTGGAAGAGGAGCTAATTGTTTTTTTCTAACTAGATGTTAAAAATAAATAAATTAAATCATGTATCTAAATGAAGATGGGAAATGTATAGATGTGCAAAAGTCAGCAAGTTGTATGCCTTGTGCCTTTTATGTACTTTATGTCAGTGGCCCCCAACCTTTTTTGTGCCACGGCCCGGTACCAGCATCACAAAATGATCTACGGCCCGGTACCGGCATCAGCACGCATGACAAGGCAAGGCGAGCCGAGCGACTGGCCAGCCAGCCGTCCCCCGCTTCTCCCCGCCACCTTCAACTCCTCCTTTGTACCTTTGTCGATGGGCTTCGCTTCGGGACGGCCTCGGGATGGTCGCTCGGCTTGCCTTGCCTTGGGTGATGAAAGAATCCTTGCGCCTTAGTTTCGTTCGAAGCCCGCCCCTTCGATGAAAATAAGGCGTGAGGACCCAAACGCCGCTTTCCAACCGGAAAAGCTCACCCGGAAGCACTTTCTCATCAAACAAGATGGCGGTGCCCAGCAAACCGGCAGCCCAGTAGGAAATATTCCATGGACCGGTACTGGTCCGTGGCCCGGTGGTTGGGGACCCCTGCTTTATGTAACTGTAATGTTGTGGCCCCGATTTCCGAGCCTATGCTGTCAGAGAAAGAGGACCTGGAAGATAAGAAGAACTGGCAATGCTTTCCTCCCCAGGACCTTCCTCTCTGGCAATGCATTTCTCCCCAGGACCTTCCTCCCTGGTAATGCCTCAGGTTCCATCAGACAACCGAGAGGAACAGCCTGAGATTAATCATGTCGGAGCAGCCCCTGACAGGGAGTAAAGAGAAAAAGTGTTGGCTCGACCCAAAGCAGCATCGTAGGGAGAAACATGAGCAGCAACGTAGGAGGCGTGGGAGGGTCAGAGAGTGAGCTGAGTCATTGAGCCACACCCCACAGGGGATAAAAGTGGGTGTGTTTTCTCCTTAAACTTTGTACAGGACAAAGTTTAACCTTACTTCAGATTTTCTCCGTGAATGATTATTTTTGTGGACTGCCTTGTGATTTTCTGTGAGTAAAACTTTATTTGTTATCAGTTCAGACTTGGCAGGCAGGACGTGGTGGAATGCCAAGAATATTATCAGTTCCAAAGAATTAACTCTGTGAAGTCCGAGCCAGCTTTCCTGCCTGTGTTTGTGTGTTTGTGTACTCTTTCATCTTTTGGGACAGAGGAAAGGCGAGACAGAACACTGTAATATACATACTAACATGCCTTACATATGGCACAAACCAAATCTAGATTATTGATGTCCTAAGAGTAAACTAATAATTTGTTCTATGTCATCATTTCCCATAACTCTTATATTCAAATTGGCATTTCAACTCCACCTTTAATGAACCCTAGACATCATGTATAGTCTAAATAAATAATTACATTTAAATAATGTTTTTGGTTTTTGTAAAATAAGCATATTCCGAAATACCACAGTATAAAAATATAACAATAAAATAATTCAAAAAGTTAAAATATTTAGATTACTAAAATTAAGGAAGATGAAGATCTTGAAGCCACTTTAAAAGATTAGTCAATGTTAGTCATATTATCTGATCCTTTGAAGGCAAGAGATCAGTTGAATTACTACAGGACAGTGTCATGCTCACCCTCCTTCTGGTCCCTTCGGTAGAAATCGTGCCGCCTGATGAGGGTGGGCACGGCGGGGGCATAATGACTTCGGAACAAAGGCTCGAGATCGGTCCAGTCCATTGCCTTTACATCTTCGGGTTTCGCGAGGGCTTTCACCATCTTGAACACTGCGGGCCCGCAATGTGTCAGGAACACAGCTCTTTTTTTCTGTCGATTCGCATCCTTGAGGTTGCTACTTTCCAGAAACATCAGGAATCGATCAATGTACGATTTCCAGTCCTCAATAGCCTGGTTAAAGGGTGGGGGTGGCGCGATGTTGCTGGCCATCTCGTCGGCTGCTTTCGTCTTGGCGCCACGTGCTTGGGGGTATCAGTTCCGTGATCCCACCTTCGTCGCCAGTGTCATGTTCGCCGATCGCGAAAAGGGGGCACGAGACTCAGTGACCTTTTTAAAGCTCTTTTATTTCGTTCTGAGATCGGCTTGGCTTTCTTCAGATCGGTGGCGGCTTATATTGAACTTGCCTTGCCAGCCGTGGCCAATGACACCGTTTCGAATCCCCCGCGATCGGTTTCCTCCAATCACGGGAGATTCGCAACAGGCCAATCGCTGCGGCTTACTCAGCCAATCCGAGCGCTGTGCGTCCTGGCCAATCAGGACGGGGGTTACAAGAACGCTAATGTAGCAATACAGAACACCCAGAATACTTTTCCACATAAAATAAATCACATTTTCCATAGAATTTGCATATTAATGTGAAACAATGATTTGCTGACCAATGAGTAGGAGGATAACAGTTAAATGTAAAAGTTTATTCAATGATTGTTTGGTTTGTCTTGCAGGAACTTATAAGTATTCCACATTATATGCTTTTTCCTGATATATTTTTGCACTTTTTATGGCCTTTTTATTCCTTATATGGCCTTTTAAAACACTGATTGCTCACTTCTCTATCCTAGAACATCTTGACTTGCGTACTGATTTATTATCTTCTTTCTTGTGCATGACCTTAAGAAATAACCAGACAACCCATGCCTCATTGGGTCATTATTGTTGTTGTTGTTGTTGTTTCAGAGATATTTCCTTACCTAAATAAAAAAAAATAGAATGACCGAGAGGGGCAAATAAGCAGTGGAAGCAAATGACTTCCTTCCTTCCTTCCACATTTCCTCCTCCCCTCTTCCTTCCCAGCAGGCAGATAAATGGTTAGTTCTAGGTGGGTGAGCAAGGGATTATGAGACTGTCTGGGAAACTGTCAAAACATGGGAAAATAAAGATCATGTGCAGCAGCCGTAGAGCAACAACAGCCACTAGAAATAAAGCAGCTATAACTTTCCCAAATTTAATTCCCTCATTAATCATAGGTTCCATATTTTTGATACGTTCTGTAAGTTAGTCCATTTGAGGTACCTTGATTCAAAAATTGTTTTCTATGAAGTACAATTTCGCCCAGTTAAAAGTTATGACAAGAATTTTGATCAAGACAATACACTTGAAAAGTTTAATTACATTACATTAAATAAAGTTATAATACTGAAAGAAGCATCAATTTGTTACAATGTTTATACAGTATAATTGTTAAACATTTCAACATTTCAGTAATTATTTAATAATTACTTTAATCTGTTAGCAGATTCAGAATCACAGCTAGTAAGAGAAAGTGAAGATGATGAGGAGAGTATACCTGTAATTTTCCCTTGGGAGAAGCTTTCTCCATTTGAAAGACTTATCCTGGCAAGTAATGAAAATATTACTGGTTAAACTATTTTGGCATCTAGAAGAAACATGTTTCTAGCTGATTTGAAAGATATCTGACAGTTAATGATAATGGCATACAAACTTCAGAAACTGTATTGTATTGGGAGGGCCAAACATTTTTGCTTGGGACTAGACTGTCATCTCCTGCTGTTTCTGAGGACTGTGAGGGCATGGTTTTTGACAAGTGTGGGAAAGGATGAAATTTTCAGGTCTTTTGCTAGATGTTTTCATGATTGAAAAGAGGGTTAAGGGAGTGGCAAAAATTATGTGTTGTGTTTCTCCTTTAAGCAAGACCCAGAACTAAACACTACAACATTTTTTGTAAAACACGATGTTGTCATTATAACTTTCATTTTTGCTAGATAAAAGTTCTCCGTTCAGAAATGTTAAACCATGCAGTACAAATATTTGTAACTGAGAAATTGGGAACTAGGTATTTTCAGACTGGAGGAATTAATTTAAAAGGAATGTATGAGGAATCTGATTCTACAACTCCACTAATTCTCATCCATACTCATGGTGAGCATTATATAGTGTGTATGTGTTCCTCTGTGTACAGCACATGTGTATATATGTATTCGTTTATAAATTATTATTTATATTTACTGTATATGTGCAAATAATACATTGATCATCTAACTAAGACTACTTATTACTAATAAGATCAGCACATTCTGATTGCTTCCACCCATTTTATCCAATCCAGCGGGAGATGAATACTGTGGGTACCATTGGCCAATGAATATCTATCTGCAGGTGGGGACTTGTAGAAGAGTCATCCCTCCATAGTGCCCACCTTTATATAATATCATCCCTCCAGATATTAGTTTAGGTCTCAATTGTATATTAATCTTTAAAATTCTCCAAATCAATATGTATGTTTGAATCCAGAATTTTCCACCGAATCCACCAAGCATCAAATGTCCCTTCATTTTTTTCACATTTCCAACATGAATTTGAAGTGCCTTTATCGTTTCTAGACAGTTTCTCTGGTGACATATTTATTTTCCCATTGATCCATCTGTATGTTATAATGATTATTTAGCCTACTTCATCATATGTACTTTCACTTGTTTTGTAGTTATTGTTGCTGTTTTAGGATGTGTAAGTTGCACAGAGTTTTGTGACTGAGGCAGCATAGAAATTGTGCTAAATAATTAAATAGATAAAAAATAAACAAGTATAGTGAATCTGTTCTGAGTACATTGCAGAAATGTTATACATCCTGTCCACAAATAGCCTAGATTGTTCTTTCCTAAGTGTGCCATTCACATTCCAATCACTGATTAACAATCTCTTTAACTTTCCTCTGAGAATACCTCCACTAGATGGTCCTTGGATTGCACTTGGTGCCAACTTTTTATATTTATCCAACATTACAGAAAGGACACACGCTTTCTAGTCAATGCAGCCAAATAATCAGGCAATGCTCTTAACCATATTGCACTGACTGACTACTTTATTCCCAGATTATTTGAAGGATTACCTTTTACCTGATTGCATTTACCTGTCCCATCAGGTCCAGTAGGAAGAGTAAGTTCTGAATCCTGTCTGCTACAGAATTTCATCTGGTGGAATCCAGAAATCAAGCCTTTTGTGCTATGGCTCCCATTTTCTGGATCATCATTTTATCTTAGGTTAGGCTAGCCCCATTCCTGTTAGCCTTCCCAAAGGCCCAAAACATGGTTTTTTTCAGTGATCATAGGGATCTCATGGGGAGCTTGCAATGTGGTTGTAGAATGTTAGGAAATTGCTATCTCCTGCAATCATGGTTTATTTATATTTATATTATTATATTATATTTTATATATTATTTATATTATTATATTATATTTTATTCATGGTTCAGTGTTTCAAGATTGTTAAATTGTTTTAAATGTCACTGTGCTTGAATGCCACCGGAATCACATTTTGTGAGAGGGATGGCTATATACATTTGCTAAATAAATAAATAAAATTCCCTTTAGATATAGCTTGCTACTTAATCTTTTCTATAATACACAGGAAAAAAAAGTAGGGCGGTTTCCTAACCTGTAGCTTCAAATATCATAGTGATCACCTTACATTCACCCCTCCTCCATTACTGTGCAAAAGCTCTTTTTGAAATCATTTAATCGAGCAATTGTTACAGTATTGCAGGGATGCAATGTAATGGGGAAAAAATGTGGTATGTGTTGACACTCATTCTTTTATAAAATTATGAAAGTACAGGAATCCTGTTTTCCTTCCAAAAAATTTTCTTCGAACATAAAATCTATACTATATGTTTTCTCATTCTGTTACAAAATATATAAATATATATTGTTTCACTGACACAATATGTCAGAGTAACATTGTTCTAAGTAAATGTACTGTCACATAAAATTATAAAAGGTATTCTTTTATATGTTGTATAGGGATAGACATTACGGCAGTTGTCTTGCGCTTTGCCCAAGAAATAAAAAGTACACAAAATGTGCAAATGCTATCTCTGGGACGTGGCCAAGCCAGCAAAGCAGAGGAATTGATATATAAAGCACAAATACTGGGTGAACAGTGGGTATTCCTTCAGAATTGCCATCTTGCAACTTCATTTATGCCAAGATTGTGCAAAATTGTTGATTCGTAAGCAGTTTTTAAATTTATTTCTATATGTCATTTATTCTCAGATGGAAAGGAACCAAATTAGGCTAATTTTAGTTCTGTTTAGTTCTTGGTAGTCTTTGAGTTTGGTTGTTTTCTGGAGATGTTTCATTATCAGACAAAGATCATTGTTGTGTGTGAAAGAATGGAATTTGCTGACTGGCCTACTAGTCTTGGTGGGAATCCAAGTTGAAACTGTGATTGAGCCTGTCCTTGTGTTGCAAGGTTAGGTTTTCATTGTCTTTTTTGACTAGTGTTCATGCAAAATATTTGCCGTTCATCTGTCTAGCCAACATCATAATAACAGTCCTTACATTGTATGTTATAAGTAATTCCGCTTCCTGCCATCTTCTATCCTGCTATGAATATATTAGCAGAAAAAGCCCACACCTGAACCCAGCAGGATCTCTGGCAAAATCTCTTTATATCCTTAAATAATAACTTATAAAGAGATAATTAAATATCTACAGCTAAAATAGACAGTAATAACGTTAAACATTATTTGTCTATAGAGATTCTTAGTCATCCAAGTCATGATTGTCCCAAAAGTACTTTTCAGAAGGCAACTGGACTTTCTTTGTTTTTTCCTTTAAGATGTTTCGCTTCTCATCAAAGAAGCTTCTTTGGTTCTGACTAAATGGTGGGGAATGGAAGGATTTATATTCTTTTGTTTGAAGTCATCTTGTCATTAGCACTTGGAATGCAAATGGATATTGAACCTTCCTGAAACTTCAGCAGTTCCATGAAGGGTCCACACCCATTTGCACTCTGTTTCAGGTGACCCTGAGCATACAGATAAACCCCCAAGTGGCCTCAGTGACCAATCGTCAGAGTGCTAATGACTAGATGACCAAAGAAAAGAATATAAATCCTTCCAGTCCCTACCATTCAGCCAGAATGCTTTTTGAATGAAAAGGGAACTGTCTTTAAGGAAAAAACAGTTGCCTTTTGAAAAGCACCTATGCCATTAACATTATTTCTTCTAATTTTTATGCATTCTTTTGGTAAAATAGAAATGATGATTGGGCACTATCATGTATCATGTTTCAAGTAGTAAAATTGTTATAAAAATGATTACTTCCATAGCTTTGTCCTACCTGATACAACTATAAATCCAGGATTTAGACTATGGTTAAGTTCAACACCAGATACATCTTTACCCATACCTATATTGAGAAGAGGGCTAAAGGTAAGATTTCAAACAATCTATTATTCAGTAATTTATATAATTACTAATTGAGAGCATTATTTTTTTTACAAAGGATGAAATATAAGCTAATATGAGTTGAGCAATGGTAAATAAGTTAACTGATAATGAAAATGTAGAGACAAATAATGTACGTAATCAAACATTGACAGAATCCTGTTGTTTTAGAAGAAAATTGAGTATTTCTGCTGGCCCAAAATTGATTTTAGCACACTTGATGTAGAGAGAAATAAGGTGGCCTTGTCAAACATATGAAGAAATTATTGCCAGGGCTTAGGGGGCTGAAGCATTTTCAAAGTCCAGAAGAGACAGGATTCAAAAGCATCTCAGGCAGACACCGCTCTAATTCATTGAACTATAAGAAGGAGGAGGTATAAGCCAATGGGATTTAAAAGATTCTGTTACTATAGACAATATCGATAAAAGTTGTTTGTGTGTTTATTTGTTTTATTGATAAATTTTCCACTGAATTTTTACTCATAATTTGTTTGTTTGTTTCTTCAAGATAGTAATAGAAACTCCACAAGGGCTAAAAGGAACATTACTTCAAACTTTTGGATTAAGTGACACTAGTGTAGTAACAGAAACTATATTTAATAAGACCAACTGTGGGCCATCATGGAAAAGATTGTTGTTTAGCCTATGTTTCTTCAATGCTGTCATTCATGAAAGAAAGAAATATGGAGTTTTGGGCTGGAATATTCCATATGCTTTTAATTCTTCAGATTTAGAGGCAAGAGAAAATGTTATATAAAATTATATTTGTAAATTAAAATGTATTTTGCTGAATCTACTGCTCTGAAAGGGTCACCCCCTCCAATATACACTACATAAACATGAATGAATGAATGAATGAATACAAAATTATGCATATACCTGCATATATGACACAAAGAAACAACATCGTCTAGTTTGGATGTATACATGTACAGGGTGAGAAATCTTTATTTGATCATTTTATTAATAAGGACACTATGAGAAACTTTGCTGAAGAGCTTTCTGAAGTCAAGCTATACCATGTCTATAACATTTCCCCAATCTATCAGGTTCATAATCATAAAATAATAACTTTTTAAAATAATATTTTATATATTTATGTATTATATATTTATATATTAACTACAATAATAAAAGGTAATAGAAATTTAAAAGAAAATACAAGAAAAAAGGTACAAGAAAGCAAAAAAGGAAGGAAAAAATAGAAAAATAGAAGAAAAATAAACTGAAACTTCCCGCCCTCATCACAAGTTTAAATAATTTCACTATCTTTTCTCCTTTTAATTAAAAGATATAAAACTCTTCATTCTATAACTCAACTCTTAGGTATAGGAAAATTCAATGGGCAGTGTCTTTTCCAATCCAGGTTTCAGAAAAAAGTATAAGAACCCTAAAATAATATTAGTTATTTATCCCAACTCAAGCAAACCCAATACTTACTCTTTTCCAGTCCAAATACCACCAAATTTTAATTCAAAGTACCATTCCTCAAAAATATCTCCAAGCATCATTATAAAAAGTAGCTTTTGTTATTATGTCTCCAAAATTAAAAATTTTCTTCCCATGAATGCGCTTACTGTTTAAATTCAGTTTTAAAGCCTTAATTTTCAAAATCAAATATTCTAATGTTTACTGACCCCTTAATCCATGTAAAACTTTCTACATCCAAACCTTGTCTTATTTTTTGCTGTTTATTTTGAATTCTTAAGCATTATAAAGATACAGCTTCATTTTCTTATGCCAACCAGTATTTCCAGCATTGTGATTTCCTCTAACTTCTTTAAAGCAGTTAATAGCAATTTCTAAAAGTGGTTGGCAAAGGAGTTTCAAAATTAGTGTCCTTTAAAAGTTCTGTGTCTGGAACAGTAATGGCAATTTCTCTCATCTCCTGGTTCTCCCACCTTCTGGACACCACTGCTTGCAATCTCCGCCTGTGGTAACTATATGGGCAATATCTCATCCTCTCCTTTTCTAGAGAAAGTCAGAAGAACCAATTTATTAATTGATGCCTTGTTCTTAGCCATAATTTTCAGCTCTGCTTTTTTGACTTCAGTCCATTATTCTAGCATGATATAAATTCAGTATAAATTCATGTTAGCTCTTTTTAATTAGTGAATTCTTACCTTAATGCTCACAGATATGCTGTTGACTATCTGCTCTTCTTTATAGAAGAACAAGTCTAAACGTTCAGTCTTGTTTAATACATTTTAATTTTTTATATATCACACTTTCATTTCCAATTATTAATTGGTTTGGCAATATTACTATATTTGTATAAAAAAATTGTATATATATTTGTATATATTTGTATAAAAATGATTCCTCAGAGCAGCCATAAAAGTTCTGTGTAAGAGCCTCATGAATCCAAGTGCAATTCAGCTTATTCAACTAATTATAGATTCTTTGAATTCCAAACCTTGACTCCAGATTTTTTTTAAAAACTATTTCCTAATGATAACTTTTCTTTTTCAGTTTTCTATCAAAATATTGGAAGTGCTCCTTGAGAAGCACCAAAGGATTCCTTGGACAGCATTGCATTATTTGACTGGAGAAGTAACATATGGAGGCCATGTAACTGATAATTGGGACCGTCGATGCTTGCTTAGCATTTTAGATAATTTTTATAATCCTTCTGTACTGGAAGAAGATTTTGTTTATACTGCTGATGAGGTATGAGAAGTATTTTTCATTACGTTGCTGTTTTAATATCACAAATTTACAACTGAGTGCACAAAGTAGGTTTACTCTGAAGAACAGATGGTTTAAGAGTCATAAAAATAATCTTCAACCATTTGTATTATTTATTTGGTTTTTCCTGCATTTATCTCTCTATCATCTGTCTGTCTGTCTGTCTGTCTCTCTGTCTGTCTATCTATCTATCTATCTATCTATCTATCTATCTATCTATCTATCTATCTGTCATCTATTGTCAAGTCAAGGCAGTGTATAGTGCATGAAATCCAGATGGATGGCTTTGAGCCAGTCACTCTTTCTTAGTTCAACTTACCTCCTATTTCTCCCACACACACAACTGTATAAGATGAAATGAGCTAAGAGAGTGACTGGCTCAAAATCACCTAGCTGGATTTCATGCCTAGGATATAACCAGAATGTATAGTCTCCTTGTTGCTAGTCCAGCACCTTAGCTACTACACATTTATTTGTAGAGTGTTTATGCAGAAGATAGAGAACAAATCGAAACTAGACATTGGAAATAAAAAATAGACATTGGGAAGATACAATTTCCATAAACATTATAAAACAACTTCCCAGAAATCTGACTTTTTCAACGATGGAACCTTGTGTTTCAGGAGAGATTGGTTTTTGAATAAAATTAAAAGGAGGCTGAATTTCCAAATTCTTCCTTGAATATTGGCTTGGAATAGAAATCTCCAAGGCATGTTTGAGCTCAGTGATTGCATTTATAGTTTTACCCTAGTTATAGTAGGAATCCATGATTCTAAGCAATGCATGTACAAAAGGTACTAAACTTGCATTGCAAGGGTGTGATGCTAGTTTCACTCATTACCCCATAACAGATTTTTCTGCTGAGAACTTATGTTGTTTATTTATAACATTTTTAAAATTGCCACCTATGACTTAATACACCCCCACACAAACAGAGCCAAAATCATGTAAGCTCTCACACAGAGGCTTACACTTGTTTTAACAAAGGTAAATAATAGTAAGTAATTAGAATTTGTACAGAAGGAGCAACATCAGGCTTGCCAATATGCAGCTTAATTCTATAGTATTCAGGGAAAGTCTGGCAAGTGAGAAAAATTTTTCTTCGTGAATGAAAAGACAGCCATTCATAGAACAAAACTATAGGTGAGCAACATGTGCTTTCTAAGACCATGCTTTATCTCCTCTTACTCTATGACAGTTCAGTGTTTATCCCATTCATAATTCACTCTTAAGAAACGGGCATCTGCAGAAAAAGTGAAAAATTCAACCACAAGATTGAAGTTCTGCATGATGTGCATCATACATATCACACACAAGTTAAAAAGTAGTGAGGCTTCAATTGCAGAATTGCATTCGCCATCTTGACTTTTTTTCTCGTCCTCTGTGTATGCACTTGCTAGAAATAATGATACAATACTAGCAACAATATTATGTAAACCTTGGATTTCTGGTCCCTGTGTTTTTCACTAAGATTTTGGCAATGTCAGGTAGATCTACAGTACGTATACTTGACTTACAAAATGTATGATACATATTTTAGCTATTCTAATAATTTTATTTCAGATTTCCATTTTTTCTTTGTTTGAATGCTTATATCCATGTTTCATATTTAGGGAAAGATAGCAAAAAATGGAGAGAAGGGACTTGCGGGAAAAAACTACCTTTGGAGTAAGCCAATGGGCTAACTAGAAAACCCTGGTTAATGGAGATGAAGAAGCTGAATAGAAACTACTATTTCTTCTAGAATCCTTTATCTTCCAAAATTCAAACCTCTTAAGGACTACAAAATATCAAATCCAGTATTCAGAAAATATCTGACCATAAATTATGAGTTTATTCGTTAGCTCTCAGCAGATTTGCATTTTTCAATATATTTGATCAATTTTAAATGCTAATTTGAAGTGAAGAAGCAGAAAGATGATTGCATTAATAATATAGGAAAATATATGTTGAGCATACATTGTATTTGAATGGGCAGAGACAATAAAGCATTTAACAATAATTTTTTCAGGTGTATCGACCAATATCTGAAGTAGATAGTTTAAAAGACTGCAGAACCTATCTACAATCTCTTCCAGAAGTGGATTCTCCAGAAATTTTTGGAATGCATCATTGTGCTGAAAGACAATATTTAAAAGCTCAGGCAGAATCATTTATCAATTCAATTGTCAGTACCCAACCAACATATAGCACAGACATTATCAGGTTATTATTTGAAATTTCCTCCCCCTCTTTCTTCCCCCCCCTTCCTCTAATATAGCACAAGTAAAACAATTAATAGTTGCTTAAAGCCTAAAGTATCAATACATACCTATGTAAGTGTCAAGGGACATATAGAAACTTTCACTGATTTCAATGTTTGTTTTCCAACTGCAAAGAGCAATGAGAAACTACCACATTAAATAAGCTTGGTGGAGTAAACCAGATAGAATCAGCACCTCATGATCTGCCACAAAATTATACAAAGGTTAAAAAACTTCCTTTTTCCAATGACTATTTGTAGAATGGACAAAATAAGTATAGGGATTTTGTAGATATGATCCCATTAAATGCAAACCTTAAAGATTACTTGCTGGCATTTGTAGATAATGTGTGCATGAAAGATAAGGAAGAGAGACAGAATGACCATATGTTGTCCATTAGTTACATGATTGTTTGCATTTGACTATGTAGATCAAAGTATCAAAGACTATATTCATGCAATGCAGTTGAGTTGTCTTCATTCAGAATGTTGACATTACCCAAATTGTGAATATGTGCTGTGACATATTTACCAAGTAAACAAATCCAGAAAGGTCATCTAATACAACATCTCCTTAACAGAAAATAAGTGAGGAAAAAGTGATATAAAGGTAGTCCTTGATTTATGATCACAATGGATCCCAAAATTTGTGATGTTAAGTGAGACATTTGTTAAGTGAGTTTTGACCCATTTTACAACCTTTCTTGCCACAGTTGTTAAGTGAATCACTGCAATTAGTAATCTGATTGTTAAGCGAATCTGGCTTCCCCATTGACTTTATCAGAAGGTCACAAAAGGTGATCACCTGACCTTGGGACACAGCAACAGTCATAAATATGAACCAGTTGCCAAGCATCTTAATTTTGATCTTATGATCATGAGGATGCTGTAAAGGTCATAACTGTGAAAAATGATCATGTAACATTTTTCAGTGCCATTGTAACTTTGAACACTCACTAAACTAATTGTTGTAAGTTGAGAACTACCTGTATAAATAGCGGGTTATTAACTTGGTTACTTCCCATAGATAATTTTAAGTTTATTTTTGTTCTCCCTATTGTCTTAGTGATAGAATGGGCCAGGATGAAATAGTACTGGAAGTAGTATCTGATATTCTAATAAGGCTCCCATTGACCGTAGAGAATATGGAAGGGGAATCTACCAATGAATATGTGTCTACAGAAATTGTAACCCTGAGAAGTTTCATGTCTGGACCAATTTGGGCTGCACTTGTGAAAGCTACAGAAGGTCAGAACTTCATTTCATAGAATTTTCATATCATATCATCATTTATTTATATATAGAAAAAATGATATCTGTGCATTTTTGTGTAGTATTATATAATATATATAATAGTTATACATTTGTACACAAAGAGCAAGAACAAACAATTTGTGTTCATGCATGCATATTATGTATAATTACTAGCCTAAATCAATCCGTTACCAAATAAAGGCTTCTTTGTTGAAGGTTTTAGATTTCAAACTCCTTTTCAGGCCAGCCACAATGCAGGTTGTTAGATCTGACACTAAACAGCATGTAGTTCACAACCTTCAATAAAGAGGCCTTCATTCTACAGTAGCTTGTTTGAGGCAGTTAATAGTAAATTTACAAATATGTCTATGTGTGTGTTTGCACATTTGTGTGCTTGTATCCTATTAATTATTGAAATAACAAGGAATAAAATAACAAATAGTATCAATAAATAGTAATTAAAATATAAAATTTGTGAAGCATTATGCATACAGTGGAAAATTTATAATTCTCTGTATATTGCTGATCTACAACGTCCAGCATCTTTCCCCTTTTCCTAAATTGATTGATCTGGATACCCTGATTTAACTTCAGTTATAACTGGAGACCCTGATTTCTCCATGTTTATGCACCTTCCCACCTTGGGAGCAGCCACCCCAAGCCAGCCATATCCTGTGCTGCAGAAGCCATATATCCACCTGCCAGCCTGTTTGAGAGCCACTGAGGACTCACAACTTCTGGATGGCTTCTCCATTAACTCTGCTTGTTGGAAGCTAGCAGGAAGTCACAAGGAGCTACCCACAATCTTCACTTAACAACAGCAGAAGAGATTGAAGACATTTCCATTACTAAGTGATGCCATCACATGATGTCATACTTCATAATTGCATTGCTTACCCACTAAATTCCAGCTCCAATTACTGTCATTAAACAAGACTACTGTAGTATTCCATAACTCAGCTTTATACAAATACAGCTTTTTCTCTACTTAACAGGAAAGTCTGTTATAATGATAAAAATTTAAAGGCATGAAAGTTATTTCTTCTAACTGATAAAAGGAAAAGCGGTTACTAAAACAATGACCAGATATAGATTATCCTGCTCCCCAGAATAAGCAAGTACATTGAAAGGGCAGGAGAAATGGGTAATTTTGCTACCATAGATTGCCTGCCTCTTATACAGATTATTCTTATTTAAAAATAGGCATACTTGCTGGAATTCCTACATTGTAACCTTAGCCTTGTTAACCTGTTCTCTCACTCTCTCTCCCTCCCCACCCCTCTTAATTTCACCATAGATTTTTATTCTATTACCAGTTCACCTTTGCTACCTGTCTTGCGCCAAGAGATAGACCGTTGTAATAATTTACTATACTTAATAATTCGGTCATTACAAGAACTTCAGCAAGGAATCAAAGGAAAAATTATCTTCACTAAAAGATTAGAAGAACTTTATAATTCAATATTGAAAGGCAGAGTAGCTGATCTGTGGGAGGTATGTGAACAATCTCTTATTGTACTCTTGTTTAATAATAATAATAATAATAATAATAATAATAATAATAATAATAGGTTTGATAGATGGACAGAAATTCCAAATGCAATCTAAATATCTGGCTGACTGACAAACCATAGTAATTTATCAAATCAAACCAAGGAATTTCAATAAAATCAATAAAAATAAAATATAGCAAGGATGATGAAACATAGAAATACAAAAGGAATTATGAAATTTCAAATACAAAATATGTTTATGTTTATCTGGGTATTTGGGGTGAATGGATTTGAATTTTTATGTTTCAAACGTGTGTTAGTCTTGTCTTTCTGTTTATGTGATAAGATTCTATAGAATATTTTTTCTATAACAACAGCTATTAATTAGTTTTAAGAAAATACTGCTCCAAAAATGTACATGAAATTTAGTAAATTATATATAATTACTCTCTCTATATTACTGTGGATCAAAAGAATAATGTATATGCTGTAATATTCATGTACAAATTTGAATTCTCATGTATTTAATGTAAGAAAGTTATAAACTATTTGGGGAAGATGTGGAATACATCTTCAGAGTATAAGATGCTCCGAAGTATAAGATGCTCCGAAGTATAAGATGCACCTAGCTTTTGGGGAGGAAAACAAGAAAAAAAAAATCTGCCTCTGCCTTCCAGCAATTTGCCTCCTTGCAGCAAACAGCAAACAGCCTGTTTTAGTTTCAGTTTCAGCACAGCCTGATTAGTACAAGCAACTGATTGTTGGTTGGATTGGCCTCCGAACAATCAGCTGCTTCAGGCTACAGGGATTGCCTTCGCCTATTGCTGCCTCCACGCGCCCCATTTTTTGGCCTTCGCATCCCATTTTCAGCCACCACACACCCCATTTTCAGCTTCTGTGCGCGCCATTTTCTGCCCATTCTGGATGGCAGGGATTGGAATGGGAGGAAAATGGGGCATGTGAAGGTCAAAAATGGGGTGCACAGAGGCCAAAAATGGGATGCGGAGGCCAAAAATGGGACCCGTGGACTCGGCAATAGGTGAAGGCAATCCCTGCAACCTGAAACAACTGATGGTCGGGAGGACGATCCAACCGGCAAACATCTGCTTGTGCTAATCAGGCTGTGCTGAAACTGAAACTGAAACAGGCTGTTTGCTGCAATGAGGCAAATCGCTAGGAGGCAGAGGCCAAAAGGTGGGGGCCAGCAGGGGGGGTACATTCGGTGTATAAGACACAGCCAAATTTTCACCCTCTTTTTGGGGGGGAGGAAGTGCTTCTTATATTCTGAAAAATACAGTATTTAGTTTACTCTTATTTCAAAATGTGTAAGAATTGGATCTGGTTGGAATATTACCACTATGAAATTCCAAGACTATAAGATAGACCGCTAAACTGAAATAAATCATGAAAGAAGATAACAGAAAATCATAAAACAATATCCAATCACCCATCAGTTTAGCCTTACAAAAATCACAAAACCAGCACAACATAAAACAATGATGGCAAATAAATAAATAAACCTAAAGAGGAAGCAAAAGTATTCTTTTAGTATTTTTTTTTAGTATTTATTTGATTTGTCAATCGCTTACAAGATACAGGCATAAGAAAAAATATAGTTTTGAATACATAAGATAGATACTTATAAGAAAAATAAAAAACAATAGGACAGGGATGGTAGGCATGATTGGTGTGCTTATGCACGCCCCCCTACAGGCCTCTTAGGAAGGGGGTGAGGTCAATAGTAGACAGTCTAAGGTTAAAGTTTTTGGGGTTTGGGAAAGAAACCACAGAGTTAGGTAGAGTATTCCAGACATTGACCACTCTGTTGCTGAAGTCATATTTTCTGCAGTCAAGTTTGGTACAGTTAACCTTGAGTTTGTATCTATTGTGTGCTCTTGTACTGTTACGATTGAAGTTGAAGTATTCATTTGCAGGTAGGACATTGCAATGTATGATTTTGTATACTATATTTAGATCGGACCAGAGGCAATGTAGTTCTAGGTTTTCTAAGTCTAGAGTTTCAAGTCTGGTGGCATAAGGTATTCTGCAATGAGTAGAGGAGCGGAGAACTCTTCTTGTGAAATATTTCTGAATTTTTTCAATTGTGTTAATATCAGATACATGATATGGGTTCCAGACTGATGAGCTGTATTCAAGTATAGGTCTAGCAAATGTTTTGTTTGCTCTGGTTAGTAGTGTGATATTACCAGAGAAGAAGCTACATAGGATTAGATTAACATCTCTTAATGCCTTTTTGGCTATGTAGTTACAGTGGGCTCTAGCACTTAGATCATTTGAGATGAGTACTCCAAGGTCCTTGAAAAAGTTTGGAATCTCAACAAGGTCTTGACTATTCAGCTTGTATTTTATTTTCTGATTTTTTTCTGCCAATATGTAAGACAGAGCATTTATTTGTTGAGATTTGAAGTTGCCATTTGTTTGACCATTCTGATACATAGCCAAGGTCTTTTTGGAGGGTAGTAGTATTGTCTGTGTGTTTGAATAGCCTTGCATCATCAGTGAAGAGAACACAGTTGCTCTTAATATGATCACAGAGGTCATTTATGTAGTGTATGAAGAGAGTTGGTCCTAAAACACTGCCTTGGGGAACACCACTGTTGACAGGTACAGAATTTGATAGGATGCTCCCAATTTTGACCATTTGTTGTCTGTTTGACAGGAATGCTTCTATCCAGTTATGTAGGTGTCCAGAGATACCATAATATTTAAGTTTTAGTAGTAGTTTGTCGTGTACCACTGAATCAAAGGCTTTACAGAAGTCTATGTAGATTGCATCTATTGCTTTGCCCTGATCGAGTTGTGTAGTTTATATATTTTTGCAATGTAAGAATTGCAGATTACAGGATAGTTTTTTTCTGAAACCAAATTGTTTATTAGAGAGTAGGTTGTTTATCTCTAAATGGAGGATAATGGATTGGTTAATAATTGATTCCATGACTTTACAGGTGACGCAGCATAAGGAGATTGGTCTGTAATTTTCAACTAGGCTGGGGTCTCCCTTTTTGAAGATGGGGATGACCGTGGCTTGTGACCATAGTTTTGGGAAGGAGCTGGTCCTGAAAGATTTTTCAAAGATTATGCTTAGAGGTTTGGCTATGGCAGTGGATAGATTTTTTAAGAAGTAGGCACATATTATATCCGGTCCAATAGATAGGGATGGTTTTAGATTGTGCGGTGCTTTTTCAACAATGTCTTCTGTAAAATCTATATGTATTAGATCATTGTAGTTGTCTGTGGTTCGACTAGGAAGTACTGGGCTTGATCCATTGCTGTTTACAAATACTGAGCCAAAGAATGTGTTAAAGAGGTTTGCTTTGATGGTGTTGTCATTGCAGACTTTGCTATTAGGTCCTTTCAGATGGACCTTGAGTCTTTTAGTTTGTTGTTTACAAAATTGTAGAAAGCACGGGTGGAATTTTTGCGTAGAAGGTTTTCCTCTTGTTTAATGTGATAATTAGTGCATTCAGTTTTTATCTGGTGGCATAGATTTTTCTATCGGCTTTTGAAGTTGGCAATGTGACCAGATTTGTTTTTTCGCCAAATTGATCTCTTTTTGGATTGAAGCTTCCTTATTGTTATGGGTAATCTGTTTTTCCTGGTTTGGGGAGTTGTTATTGGTACATATACAGTAGTTTGATGGCTCTTTTGATTTCTAGTAAGAATATATTGTAATGGTCTTCAACACTATTGTATCCAGTGAATAGAAATTGCCAATCAAGGGAAGAGAGATAGTTGATTATAAGATAATAATTGCCTTTTTTGAAGTTATAATTGGGGATTTTGTCATTGTGATGATTTTTGTGTGGATGTATGTTGAGACAAAAAGTCAATCATGTTGTGGTCACTGTTGGAAAAGGGTTCTTTAATTTGTATTCCGTAAATCGAATTGAAACTATTGCAGAAGATGAGATCGAGGCAGTTTTTAAACCTAGTATTGTTGGTTACTAGTTGTTCCAGTCCCAGATTTGTTACAGCATTGTAGAAGGTTGCATGTATGGGTTCAGTTGTACATTTGTTTAGGGTCCAGTTAATATGAGGTAGATTGAAGTCACCAAGAAAGATAAAAGCGTGTAGGCAGGATGCTGCCCATGTTAGTAGTGAATTTAGCTTCTTTACATGTTCGATGTCATAATCAGGTGCTCTGTAACATAGTAAGAACCGAAATGTGATATTTAAGGTCAGTTCACAGATAATAGTCTCAGGAATAGCAAGCTCCTGGGTAACTTGGGTGTTTTTTAGATGTAAGGACTTTTTATAGAAGATCGCAACACCACCTCCTCTATGGATATCATGATCAGATTGGTAAACATGATAGTCTCTTACTGAGGTAATGGAGTCAGGGAGAGATGTGTTGAGCCATGTTTCACAGACAAATACGATGTCAAATTTAGCCGTATTTAGTAAGAGGAGAAATTCAGGTATTTTATTTACAAGGCTTCTTGCACTGAGTAGCTTACATTTAAGGCCAGTTATGGTTGGAATAGAGGTAGTTGGGGGTGTGCGTGCCTAAAAGGTGCATCAATTGTCTTCTCCAAAGGCCTTGGAGAAGGTTTTTAATGCCTTTTAAAATATCAGTAGGGTGGAAATCATTTGAATTTTGGGGAGAATCTCATTCCAGATGGTGGGCACTACTACACACAAGGTTCACTTTAGGGGTCCCAATATGTGTCTGTGTTTAATTGATGGAACCTGAAGCACACCAATCTTGCCAGATGGATTGTCAGGCAGATACAATAGGAAACAAGTGGTGCCTCAAGAAACCAGGCCCTGTGCCACATGGGCCTTTTAGCTAGCAACCAGCATTTTGAGTTGGATCTAGTAGCAAAATGGCAACGACTGCAACTTGCAAAGTTAATTTTCAGCTAGAGCTCATTAGATAGTTATGTTCAGTATTTTTATCATGGCTGCCATTTACATATTTTATTTTTGTTGTTGGCTCTATTTCTAATTTGCTAGAGAAATAATGGTGAGATGGATGGCCATATAAAATGAATGATGAAATAAAATAAAAGAATTTTCCTAAAAATTATTCCAATTTATATTTTCCTGTGCTCAGTTTAACAGGAGTATCAACCATAAATTAATAATGTTATCTGATCCAATGATGTCTGTTTGTCTGTTATTTAAGTAGAACAATTTGCTATGTTTATGTCATGTTTGCATATTAATGTACTTTTTTTAAAAAATGCAAGTATACTTTATCTTTCATTACATTCTTTTTTAAATCTGTACAGCAAAGTTCTTTTAAGACAAATAAACCTTTAGGATCCTGGATTGATGATCTCATTATACAAGTGAATTTCTTTGCCATGTGGGCTGATCATATTATCACCTTTATGCAAGCAAGGTAATAATAGCAATATAACTCAACTTTGGGTGTCAGTGTCAAAGACATTATAGTTACTTAAAATGAAGACAGTTTTCTTCCCCCCAAAATTCATTACCTTGAAGTGGATGGGATAGTCTTATGCAAATAGACACAAAGAATTGCTGGAAGGAAAAGGATGTAATAATAACTATTTGAAAATGAGATATTTCAGCTTCTCTGCAAAGAAAATGAGGGTGTCCAAGGATGCAAAATTACATTTACTATTATTATTAAATTCTCACTCCAAGTGAAACAGAAGCACCTTCTCCTCCTTCTAACATTGGGGGCCATTTCTCTTTCCTGGAATATTTACAATACACACTTTGTCTTAGGTTCTTAAGTGTCATGGATTCAGATTCACTCGTGATGCTTACCATTTTGGGAAAAAGTTTAAAAAACAATCATATAGAATTGGGATTGTAAGGGCTATTTAGATCATCAGGAATAAATCCCACTCAGTGCAGGAAAGGAAAGCATCACAGGCATCTGCTTGAATACACTCACATCCTAAATAAAGGTATTTTTTCTTCAATCTATCAAGTTTGGAAGTTCTATTCTGAATTCTAATTCTATTCTAAGTGCTTGAATTCTTTATTTCAAGTACCGGTCTCCAGGATTCTTTCTGCAAATATAATTCTTAGTTTATCTATTCTTTACCACTGTGTAAAATTGTCTGCTAACATGAAGACAAATGAAATGTACTCTAAGTTATAGTATTATGTATCTTTTCTGTTGGACTTTTCTATTACAGCTAAAATTGGCATAAGTTAATATTCATTAACTACTTCTATGATTCTTGCCTCAGGCAAAGTCAGCAACTTTGTTGGGGAGCAGAAAATACTAAAAGAATGAGTCGATAGATCCCACAATTTTTTGTTGCATGCTTTCACGGATATTTCTCCTTCTCTTTAGAAAACTATCTCAGCTGATTTTCAGACATGGAGAGGGTTATCTTTTGTTTTCATCAAGCTAAAAGGGCATCTTGCCTTTTAAATGGAAGCTATATTTCAAAAATAATAAAATGCATAGTAATATCTTTTCTTTTTCAGTTACTTTGTTTCTTGATGTTATTGTTTCACTATTCTCCCTTCTCCTCTTCCTTCCCAGTGCAGCGCATCATTAACACCCTATTTTTTCCTACATTTTTTTTCTTTTTCTTTCTTTCTTTCTTTTTGTTGTTGTTCATGGAAGAAAAGAAACGAAGTTTATGAATTTTTATGTAAGGATGGTGTGTGTGTGTGTGTGTGTGTGTGTATCTATAACGATAGAACAATGAATTTTATACAGAGAATGGCCTGTTTTACAGATAATTAATTTTAATCATTATTATTAATTTTTTTGTATCTGCCTTTTATTGAAATGTGATTCTGGCCAGTGCACATACAAATACATATGTCTTACGCAACATTTATTGTGGTAAAGTCTCCAGGAATGGTTTCAGCTAAAGTTAAAAACTCCAGAAAGCTCATGGTTGTTTAATCATTCAGTCTTGTCTAAGTCTTGGTGACTTTATAGGCAAGAGCTCTCCATGCTATTCTGTCAAGCACAGCTTCTTTCAGTTGTTAGAAGTTCAACTTTGTATCAGTTTTGATGTTATCAAGCCAGCATATTCTTTGCTTGCCCCTTCTTCTTGTTGCATCACTGACTTCTCCAATGAATTTGCATGCATGACATGACCAAACTAAATCGAATGTAGTCTTGTCGTTTTAGCTTCTAGTAATGTGTCTGGTTTTATATGATTTAGCATCTGTCTGTTAGGGTTTTTTTAGTATTTATTTTTAGTATTTATTTGATTTGTCAATCGCTTACAAAATACAAGTATAAGAATAAATATAGTTTTGAATACATGAGATAGATACTTATAAGAAAAATAAAAAAAACAATAAGACAGGGACGGTAGGCATGACTGATGCTGTGATTGGTGTTACTCTGGCTATCCAGTGATGGTGAAACTTTTTGGCACTGAGTGCCCAAACCAGAAAACACGTGTGCACACACACTGGAGCACCGGAAACCCGAAGACCAGCTGGCTGATGCGCATGCCGGAAACCAGAAGATCAGTTGGCGACAGCGCACATGCCCACATGTGCCATAAGTTGCCATCAAGATTATAGACAATAATTTATGCCAGCACCACAGTTCAAAGGTGTCAATTCTTTGATCAGCCATTCTTAATGTCCAACTCTCCCATCCAAGCATCATTATAGGGAAGATTATTGCTCCAATTGGCTAGTTTTTTGTAGTTATGTCAATAGCTTTGCTTTTCCAGATCTTATTCATCTTAACCATTGCAATCTGGCCTAAGTTATCCTGCATTTCATTTCAGGAGTAGAACTGTTAAAATGATAGCAAAATGTTATATAAAAATTGGCATTTGCAAAATGAATTTTCTACTCATATCTGTTAGAATGTTCTACAAGTTGGATGGCATTCTCAGACATTTGGATCCTGCCTTAATATGATAGAACCGTAGATATTATCTTGATTGCAGCAGCAGATTTTTACTGTGTCCAAGGCACAAGTGCTAATCCACATGTGACTGCATTCATTTAGAAGCTGGTTGCAAGTTATACCATTTTAATCATTTATTTTTCTCTGGTAATCAGCTTATCATTTTGGAGGTTAAAATCCAAAATGTATATGTATGCTTTTAAATTGATTGTATTAATTTTGCATTTAATTTTATAACTGGTTTCCATTTATTTAGTAGAATTCAATGAATGTATGCCACATATAATAGGAGAATTGATATTGGGGATTATAAGGATAGGCAGGTCGTCACTTGGATCTTTACCTTCTCCATCTCAGATTTAAATTCTCTCTCTCTCCCTCCCTCCCACCCACTCTCTCTCTCTCTCTCTCTCTCACACACACACACACACACACACACACACACACACACACACCACCCTCACTCCTTTCAGCCATCACAGTAAGATGTGAAACGTGCAACTGCAATCTTCTCTGTGGAATGAAAATTGTAACTGTTGGGCTGGAGGTTTTCTGATTCTTCCAGTCCAGGCTTTGAGGTTTTGAGCCACGATGCAATGTAGGAATCAGTTGCATGTTGCAGTTAAATGAGAAGGTCAGTTTTTGTGAAACTGAGAACTCCATTGTCTCCCTAGAGAGCCAAAAATTGCTCGAAGAAATTACACAGTTGAATTGTATAAAAATTACTGGATTATTTGATTAGCTACTTAGAAACATACAATAATACATTAATTTCATTTAGGTAATGAGAAATGTAATAGTCTTAAATTTACTAATGTTTTGTTCAGGTTTAATGATTTACTGGTGCTTCAGAGACAAAGCAAAATGCCACATCATCTTGATGAATATCCTGACTTTCATGCCAGTTATCAAGGACATCCTAGCTGTTTTTGGCTTCCAGGTTTCTTTTTTCCACATGGTACATAATTGTGTTATTTATTTTATTCATAGACATTTATCCATTATCTATTTTAATTTTCTTTAATTTGTGCTTCACATGCTGGAAATAGTTTGTAGTCAGTGGTGGGATTCAAATTTTTTTACTACCAGTTCTGTGGGTGTGTCTTGGTGGGCGTGTCTTGGCTTGGCAGGCTTGTCTTGGTGGGTATGGCGGGGGAAGGATACTGTAAAATCCCCATTCCTTCCCCACTCCTGGGGGAAGGTTACTACAAATCCCATTCTCTCCCCACCCCACCAACCTGCTTTCCAGCTCCGTTCTCCTGTGCAGGGCAACAAAAGAAGACCCAGCCAATCAACTGGGACCCAGGAGGCAGAGAATAGATGGGGGCAGAGCCAGTCAGAGGTGGTATTTGCTGGTTCTCCAGACTACTCAAAATTTTCGCTACCGGTTCTCCAGAACTGGTCAAAACCTGCTGAATATCACCTCTGTTTGTAGTGCTGTAGCTTTTATATTACATATACAAGTAGTCCCTGCCTAGCGATCACTCATTCAATGTTCAAAGTTACAACAATGCTGAACAAGGAGACTTACAAGTCCTTGAAGTTGCAGCTACTATAACGTCCCTGCAGTCATGTGATCATGATTTGGACACTTGGTAACTGACATGCAATTACAATAGTCATAGCTTTGGACAAGCAAAGTTAATGGGAAACTGGCAGGAAGTATTGTCTTCATATGACATCATTATTGTTGGAACTGTCATCATAAGTTGGCATGGTGACATGATTTTTCACTTTTTTTGCTTAGTAAAGGCATTGTCAGTTTCAATTATGATCTTTAACTGAAGTCTATTTGTTTTTCATTAAATTATAAAGAATATCTAGACTCTAGATAATGGGTATCAAACTCAAGGCCCATGGGCTGGATTCAGCCTGTGGAGTGCTTAGTCTAGCCCATGGGGCCACCTTAGAAACAGCAATGGACCAGCCTATGGAGCCTCTGCCAGCAAAAATGGAGCTTTGGAGGGCCGCATATGGCCCTCTCAAGCTCCGTTTTCATTAGTAGAGGGTTGCAGGAGGCCGTCACAGCCAAAAACAGAGCCCGGGAGCCTGTTTTCACTGGCAGATCACTAGGGCCACCACAAGTGCCCCCGACATGAGGGACATTGAGCTGACCATGCCCACCTTGGCCATGCCCACCCTAACCTCCCCAAGGACAAACACAACCCTGATGTAAACACAACTCTAACCCTCAATGAAATCGAGTTTGACACCGCTGCTCTAGATAGACTACAAAATCCATAGAAGATTTTCCAGTTTAAATGAGAAATATATTGTTTCCAAGTGTATTAAGTATGCTTAGAGATTTATAAATTATCTCCTATGATAGATACCTCTGATGCTCATATGATATAAATGGTTACAATATGACATAACCCAGATAATGCTATTACTGCTTCCCTTTTTCCATATTTTTCTTGATCTCCCTCATTCCCACTTCAGTTTTTCTTGTCCACATAATTCCCGCAGCTGTGTTTTGAAGTGGTATGGATGTCATTACAAATGAGGGAAATCTTGTATTACTTTTACTATATTAATAATTTGATGACTAAATAAGAAACTATATTTTTTTATTTATATTTCCTGTTTCTTAACTGCCCCTTTTTCTTGTAGGGGGAATATCAAATAACATTCATTCACTATTTGCAAAGAATAAAATGATCAAGTAATTAAAGAGTAATTTAATTAACTTCTTAATAGTGGTTACAAGTAAAGTGCACAATCTGTGTATTTTGTTCTTGAAGGATTTCTTATTGCTGTGTGTCAGAATTATGCTCGATTGAATAAAGTAACAGTGGATTCACTTACTTTTACACATAAAGTGCTTCCTTTAACTCAAGATGAAGATTTCAGCTTCAATAGAAAGGAAAGCATATTAAACAAAGCTTTTAAGGTAAGAATGGGATTGGAACCAAGTTTCTTTATTCTGATTGACTGTTGAATATAGGGAATATCTTTTGTTATGTAGCCAAAATGCAGGCATTCATACGAATATCATGTATGATAGTTTTATATATGCCTAAACTTTGGCTACATATCAAAAGTATGTATAAATGCTACAATTGAAAAACATCTGGAATATATTTATGAAATTATGTATGAAGAAATCAGATAAAGATATTGCAAGGAAAATTATAGGCAGGTAAACTCAGATAGGGAATGGATTTAACATACCATTTCTCTAAAGCAAATCATTATTTTATGAAGTAATACGGTTTATTTTAAAAGGGTTATATTCAGGATTGGGATTCTATTTTTTTAACAACCGGTTCTGTGGGTGTGGCTTAGTTGGGCGTGGCTTGGTGGTCATGTGACTGGGTGGATGTGGCTTGGTAGTCATGCTATTGGCTGGGCGTGGCCAACTCAATATCACTCACATCGAGGCACCATCTCCTTGCCTGGCCTCTTATGACTGTGGGGATGCTGCAACAGTTGTAAGATTGAAAAATGATCATAAGTCACTTTTTTCATTTTTGAATGGTCACTCCACACAAGCAAAGTACCAGCAAAGAAGGGGAAAAAAACTCCAGAGACATTCCTGAGACAGGAATTCTAGTCCTGCCAAGAATGTAATAAGGGTTAACAGAGAGGCAGTTTGTGTAAGCAACACCAGAATGTTTCCTTCCTGCCTTTCTTACAGGATTAGGCCAGTAATTTCTTCTAACAACCGGTTCTCCCAACTGCTTAGAATGTTAACAACCAGTTCTAGCGAATAGGTGCGAACTGGTAGAATCCCACCCCTGGTTATATTGGCTTATATATTTGCTTATTTATTACTGGAATTTATATGGCCATCTCCTTAACACACAACTAATAGATGCAATGAGCTTAGTCATCTTCACGTGTAGCTCTCTGAAAAAGACCAGGTTTTTTTTGGTTAAATCTTCAACTCGTTCCACAACAGTATCTATCTTTTAGGAACATTCTCAGTATGAAACTGGAGTTAAAATTTACGGCTTGTACATAGATGGTGCAAGCTGGAATCCCAATACACAGGCATTGGATGAGCCTGAACTTCATAGAAGGTATTATCCACTACCAGATATCCAATTTTTACCACAAAGTGTGAGTAGCATAGTTTCACTATCTTGGTATAACATTTTTCTATTTTGATTATTCAGGTTTAATTAACCCTTTTTGTTTTAATTAAAATGACATATTTTGCATAAGTTATTTACAACCACCCCCTACGATGTCATTGTTATCTTTATTCAGTAGCACAAATATATTGTCCATATTTGAATTCTGAAATCAAGACCTAAAAGTATCTTTGTGGTTATAGGATATGAGGGCAAGGTAGAACGTTTTCCAGGTTTCCATGGTACTTATGTTATTCTTTTGTAGCCTGGAACAGAGGTTCTGCAAATGTACTCTTTATTTTTTTTTAATATATTTTTATTTTATCTTTATTTTTTCTTATACTCTTAAAGTAGTAATTTGATTCAGAAGCAAAAGTATTCTCAACATCAGTTTTTCTTTTATGCTTTTGCTGATTTTTAATAATCTGCTTATTTTAAGCAGATTTAGAGGTAAATCTATCTTTTTTTCTAATTGTAAAATATTCTGGTATCAAGCATCTGGAGCTATGATGATGCAGTGGTAAGAATACAATATTGCAAGTTACTTCTGCTGACTGCTGATTGACAGTAGTTTGCTGACTCTGCAGCATCACAGTATCGTCACGTGACATATCGTGACTTTTCCCCCTTCTCTAAACCGGGGTGGGCGTAGCCAACGGACAGCAAGTTTGACACCCCTGGCTTAGAGAGAGCTATAAAGCACTGTGAAACAGTATATAAGTTTAAGTGGCATTGCTATTGCTCTCTTCATCAAGAATTTTCAATTCCTGAAGTAAATGCCTATTACCAGTATTTGGAATATAGATGTAGTGTGATCTTTTACAATTTTCTGTCACTATCCCAATGTTTTCTTATTTAAGAATCATGCAAGCAATTTATGTCTCTGATTTACTACATTTTTGGCCTTCTTTAATCTTTACTTTGCTATGGTATCACCAATAAATGGAATTGTAGGTTGTCTTCTGTCAGATTAACTTTTGGTTTCTTCCTGGCTTTAATTTCACTGGCCAGCTGTGATAAATTCTTTTTTCTTGGAAATTTCCTATATTTCATTCACTAATATCCTCATCATGAATATGTGGATATGCTCATCACATATTAACTCTATTATGCCTCCAGTTTTCCACTGTTAAATTCTATTCAATTAGTCAACCACATCAAATACAAATTAACTTGACTTGGGGAAAAGGGGGTTATCTCAACTACTGTTCTCTTCCTCTTCTACAGTCAGCATATTTTGGCTATGTAAAAATGTCTCACCTTGATACATTAGTACAACAAGAAGCCTCTTCCCTAATTTACAGAAGCAATTTTATAAAACCAAGGCCTTTTTAGCGGTGGGTGCTGTTTGGATTTATGACAAAACTTATTCAGGAACACCAAAAATTAAATTTAGCTTTGACTAAGAAGGAAATCTATCTATAGTTTTCCAGCCCATACGAGAACAACTTCTCTTCCAGTGAGGACAATGCCAAAGAAGGGAGAGAAATGATAACCTGAATGAAACAAATTCATTCAGCAAGGGCTCCATCTGCAGCCTGCCTCAAAGTCTAGGAGACTATCCAGGTCTACAATAGCTTCTGGATTTCTGAGGTCAGACCCTGCAATAATTTTGAAAGGGCACACTTTCTGGGTCCTGTTGGATGACGTTATGTCATTATTGGGATTTATAAGATCTCTATTCAGCCAGATCATACCAGATAGACAGAAAAAGCCAGAAACTGGTATAATGCCAAAAGGGGCTTTATAGATGATAACCAGCACCTTGATTTACTGCATCTCATGGAACGGGGGAGGGGGGTGGGTCACATGGAAATTTGGCACTGCCCATATTGTCATTTTTTGGACTAGCTGAATTGTCTTGAGAGCAGCCCTATGTTAGAGTACATTATAGACATCCATTTGTGATATTATTAAGGCATGAATGACTATTTGATGCCATGCTGTGCTGGGCCTAGTATCAATAGTATCAATATTTTATACTATTGTTCTGTGTTTTGGAATAATTAAACTTGGTACAGTGGCTGCTTTTTAAAATATACTGTATTTATGATGGGAGCATAAACTGATTTACAGGATGTTCCAAAGTTCTTGCAAAAACCTTGTTTGAACCCCATCTCTCAAAAAGCAATATATATTTAAATTGTTCCTTTATTATTACACATGCTGGTCCCAGATGACCACTGTGATTTGCTTCTTTACTGGTCCTTAGTTGTACAACTATTTAATATGTAGAAATTGAGATTATTAATATTTTAATTATTTATTTTTAGATTACCCTTAGCCCAAGTTACTGTGGTGAAGAAGACCAGCTTTTATACAAATGTCCTTTATACAAGACACCTCAAAGAACAGGAATGCTGTCTTCCATGGGTGAATCTATAAATTTTGTAACTGAAGTTAATCTGCCAAGTCTGGTAACTCCTAGCCACTGGATAATGAGAGGAGTTGCACTGTTATGTCAACTGGACAATTAGGAAATATAAAATATTATTGTCCCTTATTTGAAATGAATATTTTACTGTTTCAGTCTAGGATCAGATGCAACTTAATTTTAATTTTAATGCTTTAATCAATAAACTTGTTTCCCATGCAATATATGCAAACTCATTTTAGATTATGGTTTTGTTTTTTGCCTTTATTCAATCATTATACATTAATTAAAATGAGTGTGTGCAGTGATTGGTGTTGTGATTGGAAGGATCGGTCCTGTTAAGAGTTTTGAATCTGATGACTGTTAGATCGTGGATTGACGTCAGAACCAGGAAACGTTAATCTGAAGGGCAAGCCAGTTAATTAGCACGTTGCCTTAATGGGTATAAAAGGACACAGCTGAGCTGGTGCCTTTTGCCAGAAACAAAATGACTATTTTGAATGAGGACATTACTGCAAAGAGATCTCTGTTTGTTTGAATTTTGAAGGGGAGTCCTCTAACAGTTTCTGCTAGCCGTTATCTTATTTTCCTTCAGTTTGATTTGATTGTGAAACGGCTGCTTTGTGTTTGTTCGTTTGAATTTCCAAGAGGAGACATAACATTATTGTTTCTGGCCTAAACAAACCATCTTTCAAGCAACATGGATTTAAATCAACTGCAGCGTTTGGTAGAGCAGCAACAACAACAAATTAATCAGCTACTGCAAAGCAATGTGACGCTTCAGAATCAGGTAACACAATTGCTGAATTATGTTTCCAGCTTACCAAGCCCTGCTGCTGTTCCTCCTGCCCCTCCTGTGAGGAAAAGCCCAGTATCCATGCCAGAGAAATTTTCTGGGCAAACGGACATGTTTCCGGCATTTCTGGGGCAGTGTCAATTATTTATGTCCTTGAGGCCTGAAAACTTTCCAAATGATCAGGCCAAGACAGGATTCATTCTTAGCCTTTTATCTGGGCAGGCTGCTAATTGGGCTACTCCTTTGTTAGTTCAAGATAGCCCGTTGTTGAATGATTTCCAGGGTTTTCTTCAACAAATGAGAGTGATGTTTGAGAACCCAATTAAGATACAAACTGTGGACAGACGTTTATGGGACATAAATCAGGGGAAACGTTCCCTGCAGGATTACGTTGCAGAATTTCGTTTGTTATGTTTGGATTCCAATTGGAACGAACCGGCTCATATGGCTGCATTCCAGGAAGGCTTGTCTGATGCCATTAAAGATGAGCTGGTCCATGCAGAGAGGGCTTTAACTTTGGATGCATTGATAGTTCAGTGCTTACGAATTGAAGCTCGTTTACAGCAACGTGGACGCAAACGGCTCGGTATGGAACCATCTTCGTTTTCTCGTGCACAACCCACGCCACTGAGAGTTTTCCAACCCACGGTTAATGTTGAGGAGCCGATGGAGTTAGGCGCACTCCGCCCTCACTTAACGGTGCGAGAACTCTCGAGAAGGTTCCAGGAAGGCTTGTGTCTTTATTGTGGGGGTCTGGGACATTTTGTTAATTCCTGCAAACGGAGAGGGACCCACAGATCCGTACCTGAAACCACTCTTGGCTTGTCAGGAAAACAGGGTAGACCTGACCTCAAGGAAACCCTAGGTCGGACACATTTCACATCCCCACCTCAAATTGCTGAAGTAAATTCTGGCCCTCCTCGGCATTTACTTTTGGACACTCAAATTTTTCTACAGTCACAGAAGGAGGGAATTCCTGCTGTTGCGTTGGTGGACTCAGGGGCTACAACCAGCTTTATGGACCGAGCTTTTGCTACGCACTATGGGATCCCATTGGTTGCTGTACATCCACCCATTAAGGTGGAAACCGTGGATGGGCGTGAGCTCAAGTCTGGGCCCATTCGTTTCGCCACCCAGCCAGTGCGTATGATCATTGGGGATCATGAGGAGGCGATAAGTTTTTATATCACCTCGAACCTTCATCTCCCTTTGGTGCTCGGAATGTCCTGGTTGCGCTTGCACAATCCGTTGGTGGCTTGGTCGCAGAACGGTATTTCTTTTCCAAGTCTCCAATGTGTAGACCACCTGAGACAAATGGAACGAGCGACGCCTCCATTGGCTGTGGGAGACAGAGTGGGGTTGTCAACGAAACATCGTCAAGTTAATCATCAGACTCGGGGGAAGGGCCCTGCGGTGGGGGATAGTGTTGTGATTGGAAGGATTGGTCCTGTTAAGAGTTTTGAATCTGATGACTGTTAGATCGTGGATTGACGTCAGAACCAGGAAACGTTAATCTGAAGGGCAAGCCAGTTAATTAGCACGTTGCCTTAATGGGTATAAAAGGACACAGCTGAGCTGGTGCCTTTTGCCAGAAACAAAATGACTATTTTGAATGAGGACATTACTGCAAAGAGATCTCTGTTTGTTTGAATTTTGAAGGGGAGTCCTAACAGTTTCTGCTAGCCGTTATCTTGTTATTTTCCTTCAGTTTGATTTGATTGTGAAACGGCTGCTTTGTGTTTGTTCGTTTGAATTTCCAAGAGGAGACATAACAGATTGGTAAATTAGCATTTTGTCTAGAGATTTTTATTTCTAAGAATGCTCTGCATCCCAAATAAGTTCAATCCTCCTTTAAAAATATTAATGATTGATGGCTGCAGCCCAGTGTATTTGGATAGTGCTTGGAATGTAAATTTTAAGCAAGGTTAAAAGCAGTTGACAGATAACTCTCTGGTACGTTTGTGCTTCCTAATTAATTTCCCACGATTACTATTTTAATAAATGAATGGGCAAGCTACTAGGAGTAATTTTATAATAGGACTTGTATGTTCTCAAAATTTCATACATTTTGCTAATCAAAAAAATTGCTACCTAAATACATATAACTTTATACCTGTTCAAATTAATCCTGTTTCAACCTAATTAGTCTTCACTGGCATTTTTAAAATGTGTGGCTTCAGTTTCCAAGTTCGCAGCAGCTGTCATGCTGGCTATAGATTCTGAATAGCTTAAGTCTGTGGGATTTATTTTTGCTTTAGCTAGTGTTATCATTTGTAAATCATGGTTTTATCAGTTCCTTGATTGACCATATTGTTTCTTAGCAAAAACATAAGATTTTATTCACATCAGTTATGTCCCTAATCTTTCAGGTTTCCTAACAAAGCATCACCATTGTAACTGCTACCTTGCTGCTTTTTTCCTTCCGCCTGTCATGCTGTCAGTCTGAATCCGAGGAGGAAGCTTGAAAGCTGACATGGAGTGCGAGTGTGGCTCCGCTGGCTGTGGAGGAGGCTGGGGAAGGGCAAAGTCCAGCTGGGCAGAGCAGGGAAGAGATAGAACAAGGGAGAGGGAGTTCAGAGGAAGAACCAGGCCCGCCCCCTCTTCATCCTAGGCCACGCAGGGAGGAATGGAGAAGAGAGCAACATGGGTTGTGTGGCTTAGGAGGGAGAGGGCCCTGATTCTCTTTATTAGTCACAGCTTGGAACAGTTGATAAGAACGGCAGGCTGCGAAAGTGACTTTATCCTGTTGTCGTGGCTTATCTGTGTTCCTGGCGTCTTCGCAACTGTGAGTTTTGCCGTGCCTTCAAGCCTGAAATTCTTGCTTCTGCCCTGCCAAACTAATTACTTCAGTTTGGTTTATTTGGATTTTAAGTGAGTTTGTGTTGTTCATGTTTTGGACTTAATTTTCTGCAGTCAAAGGCTGTTCCTGGGAGTTTTTCTCCAGCCAGAAGATAACCTGGACATTGGGGGCAAAGTTGGAGATAATAAAGGGACTTATTATCTTATCTGCTTAACTGATTGTGTTGCCTTTGTACCACACCCGGAGCCATCACATCATCTTTCCCAGCATAAAAGCATTCTCTAGAGTTAGATCTTCACATGTATCCAGGGTAGGCGAATTTGAGCCTGGCCACTTGTACTTGAGAACTATAGGTTGATTTTATACCCATTGATTTGTTCTTGGCTGTCCATTATATTCTCAGGAGTCTTCTCCAACACTAAGAGAAGGATGCCATTGCTTTTCCAAGTGATTCTAGGTAATCATCCTTTAAGTTATGTACCCACGTCAGCTGATTTCTCTCTCTAATTCTGTGCACTTGTAGTAACAGGACAATTGTATTGGTCCCAGGAGAGATTATTGAGAAAAGCAAAACAGTAATTCCCAGTCTAATGTACTGGTCTAGCATGACTTATTTTTGGTAATTCATTATGGTTCCTGCCAAGCAGAAAATTTTCTAAATGCTCACAAAAAGGAACTTAAAATGTCCTGTCTAGATTTCTCTGGCATTATAGATACCATCTTTGTGAATACTGGATATCTGCCAGCTTTCCATTATTTATTACCATCCGAACAAATTTCTATAAGTAGCTCCATCCTATTTTTTTCCTTTCTTATTGTTACTGCAAAAAAGCCTTGTTCACACCTTTTAGCTTCTCTTGTAAACAGGTATCTTTTGTGCCATTGAAGAAGGAATTCAGAAATGTTATGGAAGATTGAATTATGCAATGAATCCTTTTGGCACTGAGCCAATACTTTTTATCACATTCAATTCTCACATCTTGTAAGATGGCAGAGTTAACACTGTAGGGATGGCAGAAATCTATTTTGTAATACTGACGAATTACGGGCATTGGCTTAAACAGTTATTGTTGGATGCAAGGCTATGCATGCAACCTTGTATGTTATGTTGCTCAAATTAACTTTGACACAACAGAGATTTGCTACTAATGAAGAATTGTGGCTTGCTCACATCTTTGAGATTTTCCAGGTTTTTTTTTTCAGATTTCAAAGCCAAATTTTTTATTACCTTTATATGTGTACAATGAGATTGGCTGAGCCTCCCTTTGTGCACCCCCCCCCAACACAACTCAGTGAGGACAGACGTCCCTAACCCAGACCCAATCTTATTACCCTATGTGACCTTGTTGCACAACACTCTGGGCCCGCAAGTCTGTCTGTTGATTCTATGTTGATACTATAATTCTGAGAAACTGAGAAATTCCTATTGAATACACAGACTGCACTTCCACGATGATACCTATCTTCCTTATTATTGACTTAAATTTTCTAGGAAACAATACTATAATTTTAGCATGCATGCTTTTCTCCTTTATTAAGCAGTTTTACTACTTAAAATAATAATTTGAAATAGGGATATTTTCAAAAATATTTTCAAATTGTAGTTTGGCCTATAGTTCATTTTCTTAGAGAAATTATGAAATGGGAAAAATGATAATTTTTATTACAGAAATCATGCCATTTTCTCTTCTATCTCCCTAATATCCCGTCCTGCTGCAACTCTTGAGAATTGCTAGCTACTCCATCTCAAAAGAATGTCACTGAACACATATCAAAATGTAGGCTTTAAGGGGCATCCAGTAAGGCACTTGCCACAGAAGTGGAGGGTAAAAAATTAAGTGAAAGCAGTTATTTTTATTCACTTTAGCTAGTATTATAACCATGCACGGGTCATTAGAGAAATTTCACAAAGACGACACTCCCCTCCTCTGTTTTTGCAGACTACACTGTTCCCTCTCTTAAAAATGTAAGAAATAAGTCAGTTGGCTAAAAAAGTATTCAGGGTAGTTCATTCCCCTGTGGATACTTCTAAACTGTGTACAAGTTTAGAAACTTTGCCAATGCAGTTGATAATCTAATATGCTAAACAAAGCAATGCCTTTTCTTAACTATGTCAAGTCTAAGAAGATTGTCGATACCTATTTTTGTCCACTTCTTAAGATAAAGCAGGGAAGAGAATAGGGAACACATTTTTAACTGATTTCAGTGAAGAGTATGAAAGGAGAAGAATATCACTATCAAGCCAACATGAATATAACCAAATGTGGCCATAATTTAGTTTCTATTGAAACTTAAGATTATGCAAATTACTTTTTGATAAAAAAGAACAGCAAACATCCATTTAATTAACAAATAAATATTAGAAATCTGTCAAGAAAGCGGTGCAATTTTTGGACTAATTTTAATATGCAAGTTATTTTTCATGAAATGAAATCTAAAAGTACACTCTAGATGTAAAAAGAAAAACAATAATCATGACAAATTGCTGCTTATTTTAATTGGAACTCTACACCTTGGGCAATATAGTTATCTTAAAAAATATTTTCTTCAGAAAGTTTGTGTAGAATACCTGAAAATCATAGAATGTCTATACTACCTGTTGCTTATAGACACCAACCCTGTTAAAAGTGTTCAGGGCCACAGCCACCATCAAATCTAGTCAGTCTGGCCAACAGAAATAAATGTAGTTCCAAAGTTTTGGAGAGTGTTTGGGGGTGGGAGCATAATCATCACAGAATCAAAAATGCCATTATCATGTATGTAATAGTTACTGCTCCCAAACCCCAAATTTAATTACTATAATCTAATTTAAAAATGGTTCTGTCCAGAACTGAAGCAGCCCTTATAAATATATAAGGAATAAAGATTACCAAATGCTACTCAAATGTGCTAAGTTCCTTCTATTTCAAAACTGGGCAACTTATTAGGTTAAATAGACTAAATCCACATTTTTCATAAAGGCACACAATGCCCAGCAAAAGCTAGTAGATCCATAAAATATAGTAGATGGAAGAGGAAGAAAAGATGTTCTGCTATATTGTGTAATATTTCACAGTAATTATTGCTGCAAAATATTTTGAAAGTAGTATAAGCTGTATTAAAAGCAAAAGTTATAAAGAATATGCTACATATTCATATATACAAACTATGGGTGCTTTAAACAGATAATTAAATCGCTACTTTTTCTGCCTGCTATAAAATTATGAAATCCACGGTTTGAAAAAAATATTTCAATACCTCTGCCTTCAAACTTTATATATTAAAATAGCAATTGTTCTGTCAATTACAGCCATTTCAATAAAAACTTTAACAGTAAAATTACTATTGTTAAAGCTATGAATTTCTTATATTCCATAGCTATAGTTAAAAGATATGAATACAAAAATATAAAAAATGCATTAGTGCATATCTAGTTGGTTTTAATTTCCATTTCTTATTAAAAAGCTAATTTAAAAAGCAATTTGAAGTATTGGCATCTTTTCTCTACTTAACAATATAAAAAGGCAAAATAACCTACTTTGAGGTAGTAATGCCAAGTTGTAAAAGTTAGTTTCTTTTTTCATAATGCATCACCATATTTAAATGAAGTCATTAGCTTTTGAAATGTTTCACAATAATACAATACTTTACATTTTTTTCAAAAATATGCAAATGGTTATAATTAAAAAAATCCAAACTTTGAAAAACAATTCAATTTTACAGCCAAATATTGTAAAACAAACTCTTTCAATGTTATAAAGGAAAGCTGCAGTGTAAAGCAATGTACTTTTTTCCAGTTTGTACAATATTTCACATCTTGCACTACTTTCTATTATCACTAAATAAAGCTCTAATATTATTTACCACTAATATTTTCAAACCTGAGACATTCCATGAGAGTGTTATGGGACATTTTTATATATCCTCTTACAACTGCACTATGTACAACACTCAATTACAGACCTCCACATGTACGTTAGAATCTTGTCTAGAACTTTAGTGGAGTCTGTTTTTATCAGGCAGAAGAGTCAAACATTTTAATCCTGTTCTAACCTCTACCTGCCTAAATCCCCAAGGGAATCAGGTCTGAATGAAAAGAAATATAATTAGGAAGCACGAACATAGTAAAAGTTGCTTTCCACTGGATCTTAGTATACTACTAATTTATATGATGCTTTTTGATCAAGGTACTATGAAAGGCTAAAAATACAAAATAAAATTATAAAGAAAATATTGGTAATTAAACCCTAAATTTGGTCTTCTTTCTTACAGGACAGAAAATGAACATTACTCATTAGATAACCAGTTTATAAAGCATACAAATTACTTAATATTTTTCATGCACTATACAACTAGTTTGTTTCTTAATAAAAAAAATATGTCACTTAAAATGGGAAGTGGTTAAAAAGTTATAAGGCTGCATCAATTAGATAGCTGGTAAAAAAATTTGGAAATGCACTATCAAAATGTATTTTTAAGAACATCCAGCACAATTATTATATATTCCAAGTGCAAAGGTAGGAGGTATGATGTCTACACCAAAGGTTTCATTGCCGAAACTCTGTATCTTGCATCAGGGAGTTGCTCAATAGATATATGGAAATATGCGGTATGGTACACGTTGGCAGTATTTTTCCCATGCCAAACCGTATTTTTCCTTACAATGGTGTTCATCACGAGCTTTTCGGTGAATAAGCAAACCAGTAAGATATATGACATAGAAATATGGTAAAATATGATTGAATCCTATAAAAAAATATAAAGTATGATTACTTTTTCCTCATCTCATCAGTCATAATATAATTAAGTGCAAAAATATATACAAAAATGTAATGTGAAATATTAAAATTGTAATTTTAATTAAAAATGAATTAAATAATTAGTATAAATATTAATATCGGTTTTACTATTTTTTTAATTATTGAAGGTTTGAATCTTTACAAATGTATTAAAAAAGCATATTATTTCTCTTGATATATTATGTTTAATAAAAATATAGCAAAGGAATATTGCCATGAAAGACAATCACATTATCTATGGTATATCTCTTTGTTTTTCAATTATATTCTCTTTCTGTGAAAATTCTCTTATATTCAAGCATTTTATTACATATAAATCTTTGGTAATGAGAATTTTATATTAACTATTATAATATTATATATATTACATCATATTATATCATATTAACTAATATAATATTATCATAACTATCACTCACTAAAAGAATAGAGATTTAAACGAAACAGGAAAAATATAAGATAAATTACTTTATTAACTTACCACAAGGTAGGGACCAAGCCAGGGCCATAATGATATCACCTAAATAATTAGGATGACGTACAAAGCCCCACCAGCCAGATACAAGAAGGTTTTTCCCCGTTGCAGTAGGAATAACTTTCAAATCTGTATAATAGACATATATGTATATATATATAAAATAGAATGCAGTAGAAAACATATCTATGAATAAATAGTATGTAGAGCATTGGTACCAAACCAGTAGGTCTAAACAGTACTTACGAGCAAGTTTTGGATCCTTTGGGTTTCTTCTAAATAAATTCTTTTGTGAGTTGGCAGCACGGAAAATGTAATACCCAATCACTTGGAAAAAAAAATAAGAGTACTGATAAGATGATTTATTATTTATTACCATTTCACAATAGTGATAAGGGTAACATTTATATAGATGCATATATTTTTCAATTCTATTAGGACTAAATTCACTCTTTAGCAAACCAAGATTCTATTACTAATACATCATCAATGCCCTACACCATACCCTAGCAGGTAACACAATGCACAATTCTTAACTTATACAAAATATGGAATCCATATTGGTTTTACCTATATCTGGTCCCCCTTTACTGCATTTCCTTCCCTTTCTTTTCTTTCCCTTCCCTTGTTTAGAAATACTTTGAGGATAATGAGAGCTGAAGGAACTGAAAATTTCTATTGGAATTCTGTACCATAAAATGAAGTGAATGAAAAAAGGTATTAAAAGGTTAAAATTTCAATAATGGGATACTTGCATCTTTCTACATTATTTATTGTATTATGTCAATTATATCCCATTTTAGGATTGAGTATGTTTCCAAGCTAATTATTATGACAAATGTTATACTACTAGTGATAATATTTCACTGTCAATCTAAATAATCATTAAAAATATGAATATTGTAATCACAGAATTTGGGGGGAGGAACCTCATCTAAATGACTTTTATTATTGTTGGATTATACAGTAACTTCCACAATAATTGACAATTGACATGATACATCGTCATCTGCAAGTTCACAATTTCATCAATCTCATATTTCATCTCTTGTTGACGCTTTGTATAGTACAGTGATGGCTAATCTTTTTGGCACCAAGTGCCGAAAAGGGAGCGTGCGTGCACCTGAAACTGAAAGAGCAACTACCTAATGAGTGTGTGCCAGAAACTGAAAGCTTAGCTTTCCGGTGCGTGCATGCGTGCCAGCCACCTGGTCTTCTGGTTTCTAACATATATGCGTGCGCGAAGACCAGCTGGCCGGTGCACGCATGTGCTCCAGGGAGCTGCTCTTCTGGTTTCCCACGCTCCTGCGTGTGCGAAGACCAGCTGGCTGGCACGCATGTGTGTGCCGGAACCCAGAAGAGCAGCGGGCAATGGTTGTCATGCCCGGAGATGTGGCTCTGTGTGCTACTTCTGGCACGTGTGGCATAGGTTCGCCATCATGGGTATAATATTATTGTGATTATTCCATTTCCTGCTCAGTGCTCAGTAGGGAGAAATGTTCAGTTGAAATCTTTTGTGCTGCTCTATGCAGTAATACAAAATAACACATTCTTATCATTAAGTCATAACTTACTATTTAGAGTCACAATGGCAGAAGCTGCAGGCCATGAAATCTCATTTGGATTTTTCACTAAATAGAATGCTTGTAAACTGTAGAGAAAGGGAACCCACACCAAGTCTCCAAATGCTAGCATGAATCCAAACCCCTCATTTGTGATGTCCATTGTCGTTAAAATTGCTTCCTAAAATATTAACAAAAGAATATTCAATTACTTAGAATTTAGATAAGAAACTTTCAAAGCAGCTATTACCAACTTTTCTTTAAATTACATACCCCATTACACAGCATCTTTTGCAAGGATACCAGTTATTAAGCCATTGAGAAATGCCGATGAATTCTGAGTTCACACTTCTCTAAATAAATACATTTATTTATAGTTCCCATTTAGTAGGTTATTACTGCCTTCCAAAAAAATATGTCTCGTCTACAATGTATGCATCTATGGCAAAACAACTTTTTGATCATGTAACTTTTAAAAGATAAAATATAGTCTTTTCTTGTAGATTCAATTATTCTTATAGTGAACTCAGAGGATTTAATGTAGAAATTTGAGACAAAATTGCTAATTAGCAAATAAAAGGAATATTTCAGTAAGTTTCAATTATTTTTGAGATGTCTGGAAAGTAAAGTTTTTAAACTTCCTAAACAAAGATGGTCAGCAATTGGGCAGCTTTCCAATGATGAATGCAAGTCCCCCAAATGGTACAGCAGAAAATATCACTTTTTAAATGGTTCCGGGTTATGAAGGAGATAAAAGGAAGAATGGTAAACATTCATCTCTTAGAAGCCATAATCTCCTATTCCCATCATTGTTTTCACAAATGTGACTCCAAAATAATGCTGCTGAAATTCAGCCACTCTGCTTAATTAGCCTGGTTTGGGCATCTCTGTGCATATGTCGGTATGGGAATGGATATGGATTAACTCATTTGTTTTCTCGTTCACACCTGTTTAAAATAATAAAACAACAACCCCAAATAGAAACTAAACTTTCCCTCCTTAAAACAAAAACCCTGCCATCATCATTCATTTGCCTATGAATTTCAGCAATGCAAACTCAAAACTCCTATGGGAACTAGTAATGGAACATTGAAAGGTTGCATATCGTCTCTGAGTTGTCCATCCCTGGCTAATGAACAGGAAACATCTTCAGTGCTTTCTGGGTGCCACAGAAATTTACCTCCAAGTGAAGTTATTGTACATGACATGTACCTACAGTAGAAATAAGTGGGAGTAATTTTTAAAGCAGCCTGCTTTGCAGTTTGAAAAAAAGTGCTTCATATCTGGGCTCTGGCTTATTGTGGAATATTTTCTCTGAATGCATTGCAAAGGTCTAACATAATTTTTAAACTGAATTCCTAAAACTTGAATATATTCATCACATCCTTTAGATACTAAATTATGGCCACCATGCCCAAAGATTTTGCCCAATTTGATTCATCTAGTTAAAAATGAAACTCTATAAGGGTTTATAAAGAACAGCAAGTATATAAAATATGGATAAGTGCATACTAATTCTTCAGGGTTTAAATTATAGTAAAACTCAGTGTCACTTCAGCTTTTCACTAATTTTTTACTTCCTTGTGGCCTTCATATCCATTTGTGGGACTTGGGGTACCTATGGAATAGATTATTAATCAAGTTGTAGAAGGAAGAGGAAATTATTACCCCTTTTCTTCTTTGTTAGTTTGTGTGGAGTAGCAGTTAAATGGTTGGACTACAATAAGGAAGATGAAATTTAAGCCCATATTCATCTATAGAAGTTTGTTGAAAAATTCTACATTAATTACTATCTACTTTACAAGCTTGCATATCATCTTGAGTTTCTGGAGGAAAGATATAAAACCTTACAACCACGGTTTTAAAAATTACCAATAATTCATTCAAGAACTATCAATTGCTAGTTACCTCATTCAAAAGGGCATCCACCACATAGATGAGCTGGAAACTATTAACAAGTATCATTGATGGGGAAGGCATGTTCCGATCTTGCACTTTCATCTCAGTGAAAAGCATGGCCAAATTAATAACAGCCTTTGGAAAAATTAAATTGCATATTACCCACTTTTATCCTTAAAAGTCTACTACAATAATCTAATTCAGCCAATATCATATAATGTATACTGAATAAAATATTTCAAATGACACCCTCCTCTTCACAGAAAACAACTCAATTATATTTTAATGCAATATTATGTATTACATGCCCATTTGTCGTTAGCTTATCTAGGAAAACTTCCAAAATTATACATTTTTACCCTTGTTGCAGCTATAATGCTACCATGATAACACATTTTCCACTTCTTTGCTCATTTCTTCCTTATCTCATTTTTTATTTTACTTATTATTGCAGAATGTGCAACAAGAGATTAATACTCACCCAACCAATTAGCCCTGGTCGTAACTCACAAAAGTATTTCAGATCAAAATTTCCAATGCGAGGATTTAATTCACGTCCCATAAAGAAATCATAAAATATACTCCCTACAAATAAGAAAATATGCATGGTTCCTATGAATTTTCTGCCAATAGCCCCATAACAGATTATAAAACAACAGAGGAATAACATAAATAATTGGGGTTATTCTATCCTGAAATATTATTTGCCAATATTATTTTCACTTACCAGAATTTCCTCCAGGGGATAAATCTTGCTCAGGTGCTTTCAGAGAGCGGGCATAGAGGTAAATGCTCAATAATAAACTAAAAATTGTAGCACAGATAGCAAATTGTAGGAAGTGGTCATATAAATAATAAAGCTCCATTTCAAAATATAGAGAAATTCCAACAGCTATAGCTGTTAGGATAAAAGCATAGATTCCTTAAAAAAGAAAAGAAACAACAAATGAGACACACTTTTTCAAAAAGAATAGGACAGGTACTATGATCTAATAGCTTGCCATCAAATTTTCTACAGCAATTTTGATATGGGGGAATCAGAACATTTCCAAAAAAAGCTTGGAACTTTATGAAATCCATTGTCCATCTGTGACATAGTGTCATATCTGAAATGACATGATTCTTTGTAACTGGCTCGGAGAAACATGGTTGCTCATACATCTCAGTTCAAGCAAGATATCCAAAAAGCAATCATTATCTATCCCTGTTGTGATTATGACTACAGTAAACAAGCTGAAACAGGACTTGTATAAACCAATTTCCCAAACAATGGTTTGGAATAGCAATAGGACTCAACCAATCATTTCTCACTTAAATCAGAGACAATGGATTATATTGCAGCCTACCAGAAACATCCTAGACACTTCCACCACCATCAATACATATTAACATGCCCTCTGTGACTGAATAGAGATTATTCATTCTGCAGTTGCAGGAAAAAAATAAAATATTTTTAAAAAATAATTAACAGTTTGAGTACCATCTTTTAAATTAGATTTTATGAGGAAATTTATGGCTCACTAATATCAAAATAATGTGATAAATAATAAAATAGCCACAAAATATGTATTTATTTAGCATATGGCATATCATGCATGGACTTGCAATATATATTAACATTTCACCTAGTTTTAAAAATGCACAATAAAATATGAATGTTAAATAGATATATATTTAGATACCAATGCCTAGGCAATCTAACCATTGAAGTGCAATATTGTTTATATGAGAAAAATCAGACACTAGATAGATGTAACACTCAGTTTACATCTACAGTTTGATCTACAGTTTGACATGGGACACAATCACACTAAGGAGAAGATACTGTGCCCCATTGAGTCCCAGCATACGACAAGTGAGGTGCAAATTCTATTCAGGATTGTCCATTGCTGCTCTGCAAGTACAAAGACTGGCACCTTTTGCATGGGGTTATTTATATGTCCTCCTACATCTGGACATTCATTTGGCTTTCCATTGGGAATCAATGTCAAAGTTGAGCAGAAGTTGCGCAAGTGCTAATAGCCACAATAATTAACTTTTTAACAGTACGTGAAAATAAATAAATTAAAATAAATCATTAAAAATATATCTGCCTGTCATCAAAAAGCAACACAGTTGGCCACACATACTTCACCAGGGATACCATTTCAGAATTGGGAGATTATAGCTGAAAAGGGCCATCCCTGGATAACTATTTGTTATACCTCAGCATGGGAGAAAACTCAGAATAAAAGTTCTAAAGATGATTTTAGATATGAATAGTAAAACATGGAAATATTCTGTAAGATATTCTGGTAGCATCTTTTCAGATGAACAAATTTTATTAAAAAGCACTAACCCTTCATAAGGTATGGCTTAATTCATTTAATGCAGGGGTGGGCAAACTACGGCCCGCGGGCCACATCCAGCCCGTTGGTCTTTTTAATCCGGCCCGCCGAAGATTGGTACAGAATTAAGGTTTGATGTGAATGATTGAATGATTGCATTCATTTGATTTTGACTTGTAATGACAGGCATTTCGACACCAGGTGGCGGCCCGGCCCGTCTGTCAAATTTTAAGTCAATGAGGCCCCCGAGCCAAAAAGTTTGCCCACCCCTGATTTAATGTGTGGGTAATTAAATGATACAGGATTTAAAGCTGTTAAGATATTCTGATCCTAAGCAAGGCAGGGTTTTGTTATTTAATACGAGAATGTTGAGTTGAGATCAGAAGCTCGAGAGTAAAAATTGCAATATGTAACAGGTACTAATTATATCAACATCGGATTAGTAAATTCTAAAGAAACTGTAAATACATATTTACCATTTATTCTATACTCCAACCTAATTCCATTCCAAAGTGGTACCCCTTCTACAATCTGAAAAAAAAAGATATTTCATTTAAAATATTCACATTTTCATAGATCATGCAATAGTAAAAGAAATAGGATTTTTAACATTCACCCATTCTCCCACGACAACTGAGCAGACAATTTTTGTTGCTAAGTAAGTTAAGTGAGTTGTGCCTCATTTTACAATCATTTTTGCCACAGTTAACAAATCACTGCAGTTGTTAAGTGAATCATGCAGTCATTAAGCAAATCTGGCTTCTCCCTCTAACTTTGCTTATCAGAAGTCTGCTGGGACAGTGCAACTGTCATATATACATGCCAGTTGCCAAGCACCTGAATTCTGATCATGTGACCATGGGAATGCTGGGTCATATTTATGAAAAAAAAGGTCACAAGTCACTTTTCTAGTGCTGTTGTAACTTCAAACAGTTCCTACCTAAACAAATAAGTAAATTGAGCACTACCTGAACTAGATCTTTCCATTCAGTTACAAAGACCATCTGGAAAAAGACTAGAACTATTGTATCCATCACAATGTATTATCTGAAGGAAGAATGGCATTTTGTTTAGCATCCAATCCCTTGAATCTAGGTTTTATTCTCTAGAACAGGGGTGTCAAACTTAATTTCATTGAGGGCCACATCAGAGTTGTATTTGATCTTTGGGGGACCAGGGGAGGTGCAGCCAGCTTGATGTCACATGCCGGGAGGCCTGTGCTGGCCTGAGCACTCTGCCAATGAAAATAGGGATCAGGAGAGCTGCATCCAACACTCGCAAGCTCCGTTTTTGACTGTGACAGCCTCCTGCAACCCTTTGCCAGCAAAAATGGAGCTCCCTCCCAAGCTCCGTTTTCGCTGTCAAAGGCACCATGGGCCAGTCCTTTGCTGTTTCCAGGGTAGCCCCATAGGCCAGTTCTAAGCACCCTGGGGGCCAAATCCCGCCCCCAGGCCTTGCGTTTGACACCTCTGCTCTAGTTTGTCCCCAAATAGAATTCCAACCAGAATTTAGTAGAAAAGCATGAAAGCCTTGCCAACTCCCTTTTCCTTCAGCTAGTTCAAAATCCCTGACATCCATTCTATACATTAGATGATTTGTAGAATTCTAGTCAATATTTCACAAGAGGAATCATTACCCTGGAGAAAAATGTGTTACAAAAGCAATCTATAAAACGCTTATTAAATAAGAAAGGCAAACTTAAAACAAGAACCCACTACCAACATATACCATTGGAAACTGAGACATTAACTGTAACCATTTTATAATGGGAGAGTTGAAATAACATTTATACTACATAAAACAGGATTTTTAAAATGCTAGTTTAGAAATATGAAATTACAATGCTGTTATATAAATTAGATTTTAAAAAATCAAATTTCTACTTCCAGAAGTTTTACCTTTCCTATCGGCAGTAAGTAAAATAGGGCTTGGAGAAAGAACCAAAGAAGAAAGACACCAAATACTCTTGTCTCCCATAAATTTTGGAAAGCTGGTAGTGGAGGAGGAAAATTCAGAAGACTGGGGTCTTTCTGTGAGCACATTAGCAACAAGCAGAACACAGTTCCAGGTAGAAGAAATATCATAAAGAAGGCACCTTAAAAAAAGGTATACAAGTATTAGAATCAATTCAATTCCAATTCCATCCAGAAAGTAAGAAAGATAACTGGTATCAACTAAAATAGTAGCTGTTTCCAGTTACTTCAAAATCATTTTATCTATTGATGTGAATGGAAAGTTTAAAACTTCAGTTATGAATCAAAGGCTCCAGACTATTATACCACTATAATTTATGACTTTCAAAACTAGCATACCGATTTTTCCTCCAAATACAAGTTCTTTTGTCTTCCAGCATATTTTTTCAATACTTTTTGGTGTTTCAAAGTTTTTCTCTTCTGCATACATCTCCTGTCTTCTCTTCTGCTCCTTTCTAGGATGCAAACTATATCGTTCCAGAATGCGTTCTCTTCTTCGCTCAGACTCGATTCTTTGCCGCTACACACAAACAGCATAAAAGGGGGGGGACACAAATTGCTATCATCCACTAGTACATACTAAAGAACCCTCCTCAGGTCAAGTATAATGGCTCTTAAAGTTCTTGTTTGTTTTTGTTGTTGGCTATCTATAGCCATTATTTCCAATAGTCCATTTCCTGGATTGGCAGTCCCTGCACTCAGACACTCAAGCCCTGGTCATCTCATGCCCTCTACATAGAGCTACTCTTGAAGAGTATTTGGAAGCTAAAACTGGTGCAACATGCGGTACAAGGTCAAGTTTTTGAGGCCCATGGAGTGTGTGTATCCATGTTATATCATTGCTGCCAATTTGTTTCTGGGTACAATTCAAGGTGTTGGCTATAGCTTTTAAAGACCTTCATGGTATGGGCCCAGGCTGTCTGAGGAACCATTCAATGGGACTGACCAACCTCACCCATGCTGTCAGAAAAGGCATACTGCAGACCCTGTCAGTCAAAAAATTTCATATTTCATACCTCTAAAGTGGCATGAGTAGAATAATTCACTTCTGTGATATCTGGCTCTCCATTATACTGATTTGTGTTATTTTCATGCAGCCTCTGGATTGAAAAAACAGGATATTTTAAAGAGAAATTATTTTATTAATAGTTACAATTAAACTTTGTAGTTATAACCATTTATATTATATAAATATAATAGATATTAAGTATAGAAATGAAAAAAAAATCAAATTTATGGACAACGAATAAAGATTTGAATCACATTATATACCGTAGTAATTTTATATTATGCTTTTTTTGTACTAACAATTACAAAAAGTACTCAAAAATGCACTAATAAATCCGATTAGCCTTTAGTTTGTAACTAATATATGCAAAAACACAAATTAACATTCAGTTTATTGACAAAACATAAAATCCAAATCTTCTATAACAATTTTTAGTTTGTAGTTTGTTTCAAAATGTCTTAGATACCAAGATGCTTTTCCCATGGGAATGGTTCTGCAATTTCTGCAAGTAAATCCTCAAAACTGGAAGGAACTTGAAGCATTCTGTTAATGTTCTAACCCTGAAACAAGCCTATTTCATCAGAAACATGTCCAAACACTTTGATCCAATTCCATTTCTGAGGATATACTTCCAGGAACTTCAAACCACTCTCAGAATATTCTTTACTCTATAGATTGATCTGAGCTGGTGTTTTGTTTAGTCTCTCTGCCTATATCCACTCTTGCTCTCAGCACTGGCTCTCCACAGGGTTGTGTGCTGAGCCCCCTTTTGTATTCACTCTACACCTGCAACTGCACTCCCTCTTGTCCCACTAACTCTATAATAAAATTTGCAGACAACACCACGTTGGCGGGACTCATATCAGGAGAAGATGAGGCGGCCTATAGGTCAGAGGTTCTCAGACTTGTCTTGTGGTGCAAGAGTCATAACCTCCCCCTAAACATCAAAAAGACCAAAGAATTGATTGTAGACTTCAGACAATACAAAGCAGAGTCCTCCCACTATATATCAATGGAGATTGTGTGGAAAGAGTTCATAGTTTTAAATTTCTAGGAACTCATATTTCCGACAATCTTACTTGGTCGGTCCACACTATGGCCACTGCAAAGAAGGCCCAACAGCACCTGCACTTTCTGAGGCTGCTGAAAAAAGAATGGTCTGGGTGAGAAGTTGCTGGTTACTTTTTACCGTTCTACCATTGAGAGCATTTTGCCATACTGTGTAATGGTGTGGTATGCTGTATGGTCTGTAGTGGATAAGAAGACACTTTAGAGAGTTATAAACACAGTACAAAAAATCATTGGTTGTTCTTTCTTCTCTGGAAGAGATTGCAAAGACCAGACTCCTCTCTAGAGCACTAAAAATCTTCAGACCGTTCTCATCCTGGTCATTCGTATTTCAAACTGTTACCATCAGGGAGACACTGTAGGTGTCTTAAAAGGAGGACTAATAGACTGAGAAACAATTTCTTTTCCAAGGCAATAATTGTCTTGAATCAAACAATGCATATGTGATTTAGCCCTGTGTATATAGTGGCATTTTTAAACTATCTAACTTACTATATGTTTTAGATAGGTTTTAGTCCAGGTATTATTATTATTATTATTATTATTATTATTATTATTATTATTAT